AGCGCGTAACCGGTTTCGGTGACGACTTCTACAACTGTTGTTGAACCAGTTGCTACTTTTTTTTTTTGCGTTTCGAGAATATTACAGTGCGAGGCGCGGGAATAAATTTGCACATCTCTCACCAATGATTTGCTTACATACAAAAATTGCGTCGTATAGTGGTCTACGTAAGTGGCCATAACTATTCTAGCAGCGATTATCAGTTTGTTTTTCATCTCACATAGTCGTCGGTAAATTTAAATATTCAAACATATGAAAAATGTAATTTTGTTTTGGAGAAAACATGAATATTGACGCAACACGTGTACCTTGTAGCGTCGTATCGATCAGTTCTATCTGCGCATAACTTTGTGTTTTTCCATTGATAGCTGCACATCGCGTTGCTGTACTCAGGAGGATATAATAGGTACATATCGCATGCGATTAGCCGCAATTTTATGTGTGAATTAGCGACGACTACGTGAAATAATTTTAACAACGTTTGCTTATAGATATTCTGTTTACAATTGTTTAAGTAAATTGCTCAACTTAAAACAATATGGAAGTATTATTTTCTTTTCCTGTGAAAACAAATAAAATGACCAAAATCGGAGTCGGTTCTGAAAGAGTATATACATAATAGCTATGCGGGAACTATAAATTCAGATAATGCTTTACGATCGAACCTTTCTATTGTTACTTTGTCGAGACCGAGTCCTCTCCGTATTGTTATTTTCTCTTCCCCATTCTGTCAGCAACGATCAGCGCGCGAGTTAAATCATGTATCAACTGTCACAAAGTTATTTTTAGTTTGCCGGTGGGTGATCGCATTATGGTGGTGAAATGTTTGCATGAGAAAAAAAGATAAATAACTGTATAGAGAAAAAACTTTAGTAACAATAAGAAGAAAATAACAATGCGAAAACAACGATAAAAAGATTTGACTGTATTTAAAAAATTACAATAAGCGCTATTGTTATCAAAATAAATTGTTGTTGACAGACAGTTTGTTCAAAATATTTATATAATTGTTTTCACACAGTAAAATCGTGCAGTGATTTTAGAGAGATGTCTTGATTTCGTTGTCATATCGAGATGTTTTATCGAGTGTCAAGTCGCGAATTTATAATTGATTGCAATACAATCCATGAGACAATATAACATTGTGCAATTTCTCGCGAAAAAAATCTTCAAAGAAATAAAAGTTACAGATAAAGTTCATATCACTGTATTGCTAAATTAAATACACAAACGATATCGATAAATGTCAAACACTTACAATTAATTAAGTCAGATAAAGAGGATTAATCATCATGCAGAAATTTCTCTGCGAAATTCTTTTTTTTTTTTCTTTATTGACGCGATTTTCGATCGGTAAACAACGAGCAAGTCATTACGAAGAAAACGATCTTAACATTTGTGCGGTAGATTTTTACAGACGTCAAAAAATGAAGTAAAAGCAACGAAATGCTGTGCTATAAATATATTTCTTGCACGTTAACAAATAACGAGTTATGATAATTTATTAGCAGAAAGAATCATATAAAAGAAACATAAATCTTGAAAAAAAAAAGTTGACACATTTAACAACCTTATTATTATAGTGAGTTTATATTCTGGACAAGACATAACGGAAGGACGAATATTTTTCTGGACGTTCAAGCTGCGTCCTTCGATACGACCTCGCGTACTGAAAAAATTGCTAACACATACAATGCAAAGGATTATTGTCGCCGCGCCTTGACACACATCATTTGTAAGTGTGCGTGTGTGCATAGTTGCTCACAGAAATCTCTTGTTTATGTAATAATCACATAAAGTGTGCAACAAAAAATTTAAACCAATTACTTCTTCACTGATCTGCCACCTACAAACTTATATTTGAATGCGAGACGAAAAAAGTTTACGTTTCTATGCTCCGACGTATCCGTATGTATAACTATATATACACTTGATGTTTCTGTTCTGCGTGATGTAATTTGTTACGCTTGATCTCATTTTCTACTTAACTGCAGTGAGTAATTGATTTTGAGGATTTTTGCGTTTCCTGTTGACAGTCTAAAACTTCTAGCGTATAAAGAGCGAGCCGAGAGTGTGAAGAGACCCGTTGTCCGGGGATTAAATCATTTAAAGGCCGCATTTAAACCAACCACGCGTCACATTCACAAAAGATTGAACAATCGTCGACATCCTACTTCTGCATTTCCACAAGTGGTCTCGTAATGTACACGCGGAAAACATCGCTCTCATTTTATGGAATAGAATTTTATTGCACTTCAAAGATATTATTTTTTTCCAGAGAACTCTGTGAGAAACTAAACTAGAAAAAAAAAAAACACACAATTGCTATCACAGAAACAATAAACAGTCTCCATAATTGCGCGCATAAATATTTAATGGTTATTTAATAGTTGTACATATTATTAAGTATAAATATTTGTTTAACAGAAATTACAATTTATGTTTCCATTACTGAAACTTTATGATCCAGTTTTATTACGCAAACCCTTTTATATATGTATATAGGAAAAATAAACGTGACATTATCGACGCGACGCAACGTTTTGTACAAACGACTGCTAGGTAGTTGAAAAGACACTCATTGGCGCTATTACAAGTCCTCTTTTCCTCCCGCGCGTTTATCCTACAAATTTCTGTTCTGTTCACATCTGGTCTCCCACTTACCTATACGCTAATTGTTCCACCTTCCGATAAAACTCTGGTTTCCCAACACACGAATAAATTTTTCGCCTTTTACCAACCACCTTCCGATAAATCTCAACTTACTTGACGGGTTAATGTTTAATATAAGATAGGAACCTAAAAGCATCTTCCACTGTTTTCTATTTCTACATATTTTTATCTGTTAGATACGACTTAGTGCTACCAAGAGTGCCGTGTAATTTATCTCTCTTTTGGTTTCTGGTTATTTATCAGATAAATACATTTTATCAACACGTAAAACAACGCAAATCAGAGTTTTAACCATTGGATAGAGTACTCGACCTTTATCTGAAAGTGGAACAATCGGCTCTATGTTGCATTAGCTAATCATCCGACAGATCCGTGAAATATTGGCTTATCCGGGATTTTGTTTATCGCAAAAGATGAAAGAGCCGATGAGAGATGGATGGTGCTGCCGTCTGGTGTAATCCCTGTCTACTTACTACGTGTTTCCACGAGAGCTACACATGGCTAGACACGTGTTCTGCACGTGACTTGCTCCTTCTCTCCATTGACATTATTATACATATGACACATCACAGAGCGAGCATTTTAATTGTCTCTTCTTCCTCTCGACGTTCTTGCGCGCCATTACGTTCACTTTGGTGGACGTTTGTAAGAACTATTTTGGTTCGAATCCGTGCTACAATCCATCGATCTATTTTTCGATACTGTTATTCGCTCTGTAATTGCATATATGTAAAGAAATACTTGTTTTTTTTTGTTTTTTTTCAAGCTGTGGATGTAGTACACAAATTTGCAATAAATAGCGACGTATTGGCAAACAGAATAAAATAAGAGGGAGAGAAAGATATTTGTGAACAGAGAACCATTGTGATAGTGACATGTATTGAAGTCTATTAGCCGTTTATCTTAATTACGTAGTTGCGCTTACCGTATATATATATATATATATATATGTATATTCGTAAATTAGCAATGTGCAAGTATTCAGTGCACGTACAAGGAAATTGCACCACTGCGATTTGCGAGAAACAGAGAATGTGCTGCGTCATAGCGCTCGAACACACACACTCGCATACACACAAAAGTCATTGATTGCACAATTGAACAGGACAAGCATTTCAAAGATTCGTTTCGAGATATCTTTAAAGAGATTGTTATTTCGAGCGATCTCACAATTGAAGTATATCTTTACCTTCGAACTGTAATTTCCATTGGATCGTATTAAGCGCTCGGGAATGGAAATATTTCGGAAAATTACAAAGATAATTATGTTATGCATAAAATGCGCGAAAAGTGCATTTTTTCTCCCCCCAAAAAACAAACATTTATTTATTAAAACTTGTAATATTGAACCAAACACTTCGTTTACAAATAATCTCAATTCTACCGCTTTGATTCACATATGTGTAGCTCCAAGTATACTTTCGCAATCCCGGTTTTAAGAGAGTATTTACAAGGCTAGAGCAATTTGTCTAAGTAGAAAAAAAAAAAAAAAAAAAGATTTTTAACATGTTAAGTTAGTCACATCCGAGAGAGAGAGAGAGAGAGAAAGTTACTTGTCGATTAAATGGATAGATTTTTTTGTTGCTGTATTCAAAGAAAGAAGTGTTTCATATTATTAGGAAATATTAAACTTCCAAAACATAATGTTTTTTCACCTACCGAAAACAGATAGCAGAATCTGGGTCATTATGAACACATGAGTCAGTAACATGATAAAATATAGATAAACATTTCTTTAAATTTACCATTTTGATAGGAATAAAACATCCTCAATAGAATATAGTTCGCCGAGATAAAAATCGAACTACGAAACTATGCGAGTTCTGCAAAACGGAAAGTTTTTTTTACATTGCTTCAAAATAGCCGATTAGATAATAAAACATACTCACGATCTTGACAATAATTCTATAATGATGATGCAATTCTACGTCATGCAGCAGAACAAAGTCCAGTGCTTTTTTATCTCTCGTAATCGCGCTAACATATTAAATTAATTATATTACTTTAATATATATATACAACGTTAGTGATTAATATCGTAATTTAATATATTAATGTATAACTTTAATATATATATACATATAATGTACATTCCGTAATTTTCTAAATTACTTTTCTTATTACCGCTCATGTGCTACTTAGTCACTTCAACTTAACAGATAAATGACTCCTGACAAACATCTGAGTCACAAAATCATAATGCGTTATCTATACGACGTATTTGAATTTCGCGGCGCTGCTTCACGATTTTTGCCGCGCTGCGCTCCGATTGGTGAAACGGCGAGAGCAGCTGTCTCGTCGGTCGGCTACAACCGGCTTGCCACGCGCTCGCTCCGTCCGGTCGGCCGAGCTGTCGTTATCGGAGCAGCATTGTACACAGCACTACATACTTACGTACAGTTTCAGTTTCGATTCCGACAGTGTCTCTCGTGAATTTAACATCTTAACCTCGTGCGTTGCGCACCACATTTACTCGCTGCATTATTGCTTTGCCGTCGTCGTCGCTTCGTTGCGTCGCGCTGACATCGTCGTCCCCGTCCGACCGGTATAAAAAAAGAACACGGACGCGCCCGCGCGCGCGCTGTTTTTCGGTCCGAGCTAAACGAGCGCACGACAGTGCGAGGAAACGCTAGTCGCGCGCTAATACAGTCAACGTTATCGCGTCGTTGGTTTCGTCGTGATAGTCATCTGTTCGACGAGCTCGCGATCGGGCGATTTGCCTCCTGTTATTACGTTTCTTCGTTCTTAACGTGAGATGAGCGACAATAACAGGCCCAGCAACAGCGAGAACAGAGGACGAAATGGCCACGTGCTGGTATGGGAACAACCCGGAATCGACGAAGAGGAGCGACCTGAACGAAAAAAAAAAGGTATGCGCGCGCGATAGAGCGCCATATCTGCTGTTGTTATATCTTGAATTAATTTCTCTACACGGTGCGATAGCGACCTATCGATGAAATCGCCAAGTGAAAAACGGAGGAAGCGAGAAAGAGAGAGAGAGAAATGGAGAAAAAGCGACAGAGATAAGCGACTTCGAAAGTCTACGTAATCGCATCCATGTGTGTTCCATTCAAACTTTCGATCGAAATACGTGATGAGCTCATGTCTCGCGCGTAGATTTCAGCGCGACGAACACTTCGCGCTGATACATGGGCGGGATGTGTGATTGTAAAACGCGTAAAAACTCCGCCCGTCTGCTCCGTATTTAATTCTCATGTCGCGTGAAACGACGTAATTCGAGACGAGACTCGCGTGCGCGCGAGACGAGCGCATCGACAAACCACGTGCTCGATGCAACGACATGTTCTCTCTTTTTCTCTTCGTTTTGCGTTTCATTTTCTTTTTTCTGTCTTACACAGCGGCAAAACGCGTTGCTGACACAGATGTGAAAAAAAAAATTTTCTATTCTAAAAGTCTGTAAAAATTCAACACACTACTTTTTCCATTTTATAAAAAGCATATGCCACACACACACACACACGCACATACAATTATAAAATATCTCGGAACATTTACATATGCTTGAAAAGTATCAGAGTTTATTATTTCTGTTTATACAACGACGGAACAATCGGCAGCTTCATGATGTTCACAAAAGTGTGTTTGCTTGTGTGTAAAATATGTTACAAACATGTTCGCAAATTGTTTAAAATCCAAGACTCGAGGCGATCTATATTCGCCATCTCACTTAGAACTTATTTTTAAATAAAGCTGGAGACTTTTAAGTGCGGCTGCTAAAATCGCACATATAATCTCATCGTACATTTAATAGCGCATTTAACTTAGAGTAGTGTATTTATAGTGTTGTATGAGTGTGATGTCACGCGTACCATATATACACACATATTCTACATACATTGGGTGGTTTTTAACAGAAATTTTCATAACTACATTATATCTACACACTATATTTGCAATAAATTCCAAAAACAACTTGTAACTGTTCAGCTTTTTACACATTCAATACATTATAAATTAATATTACAAAAGTTTTTACAGTAAACATATGCGTCAAAGAAGTTCTATATCACGTACACATGTTACAACAGAATATAAAACGTTTTTTCCGTTAAAACACACGTATCTGTATCTATAATTTGCAAAGTTTGTTACACGACTGACACGTAATTATCTGAAGAAGATGACGCGCGTAATCGAACAAGAGTAAAACTCATCTCGGAAAATTTGCTGTGTGACACAGAGCTGCTATGAATTATTAATAAACAGCGCAACATGTTACAGATAACAGTGCGCAATCAATTTTATCACCGTTTAATATGTTAAACAGATAAAAAAATGTTAACGTATTTATGCGCCGAACTACGGAAGGAAATACCCCGTATATAAAACGAAAAAGTGCGTAAGATTAGATAAGGAAATAACATTGTTAACTGATGAATTCTCTGAATGCAAACTAGGAGTATGTAAATATCTGCAATAAGAGCACTTAACGCAATATGATGACACATCGCGAAAACACCTGCGAACTCGGTAAAAATGTAGGTAAAACCGAACGTTCTTCTTGCTCGCGCAACAAATGCGTTTGTTTCCGACGGAAATCGCTCGTTTCTGATTGCGAGGAAGTAACAGATTTGTTGGCACATATTTGTTAAAAAAAGAAAAAAAACATTCGAGAATGTTTGAACGCGAAATTTTCCTCGCGGTGCGCCAAGGCTATGTCGAATAACTCGTCCATTTGTTATCACTGATATCTATAGAATGTGTACTGCACCTACAGCATGTTGTACGGCGCATTACATTTCGTAATTGCCGTGCAAAGGTAATTGTTCCGAAGTTTCCGGTTCTCTTCGCTTTACAGATCTTCTGACATCAGTTTGAAAACACGTGTTTATCACGTGCACAAATCCCGCCACTTTATATTCCCGTGGTCTCCATTTGCCCACGGCGAATTTCCAGTGTGTATTCTCTGTGTGACAATGAGATATTACTAATTCCTACACACACACACACACGGAAACACTGTGTACCGCGGTATGTTGGAAGTTATTTCTAGCCGATTCGCGCGACCACGTGCTTAGTGACGACTACGGTGAGCGCCGTAGTTAGTAAATGCCCGACTCGTTGGAAGTGCCCGGTATAAACGTGACACGAGGTATATATATACAGGGTGTCCCGTAGAAAAGTATTTTAACGACACATTGTATTTTGAATTGTGAGGATGAAAGTTTCGATGCGAAAACGAATCGTAATAGATTTTAAGAGAAACAAATACCAAGACCAGGTTGTAAAAGCTGATGCCACGTTTTCCGACGTATTAAATTGCTTATACGAGTTCGGGACAAGGAATGTAAAGTGCTGCGGAATTTGAAAGGAATGTCGTGTTATGTTTGTTTTTTTTTTTTTTTTATTTATTAAAAGCGAGATTTTGATACAACACAACAATGGAATTTTCAATATCGATAACCGCGCGGTGAAAAATCGATGTTCAGCGATGCCGCGGGCGAAATTAAATGCGATAAAACGTGATTTGATCCCGGCCGATTAAATCCATCGACGCGTCTTGACCTTGATTCTCACTTATAATGCTCTCACAATCGCTCATTGTTTATCAATAATTTGCTCGCAGCTCTTTCACATGCTGATTGTTAGTTTCAACTCAAATTATTTTTGCTGAACGATTTCTCGGATTTCCTCGATAAATCGCGACGCGTAATTTCCCTTCAATATTGTAGGTCATAACAAATGGAACAAATTACAGTGAAATTTCCAATGAAGATAAACCAGAAAAAAAGAGGAGGAAAAGAGATATGCGATTGCAAATTATAATTTAACGCATAGGCTAGACAGATTTAGTCTGATCGGTTTAAGCGGCAATGAGTGTGTCATCGGCGATGTCAATTGACTAATTCGGCGTCGTTGTAAAGTACAAGCAGTGAAATATATTTCCTAGAAACACTTGTGTAAATTGAAACGAATCAATCCGGTCGCGGCGTCTCAATCCCTCATCGATGTTTGCTTCCTATATCTTTATTTGCCTCTCTGTTTCTTATTTTTGCTCTCTTTCCCGCGATGACGTCTACAAAAGTGCGCCTCGGCATTAATCAGAGATAAAAGAGAAGTGTGAGCTGAATGTAATCAGCTACGGAGAGATTTTGTAACATCAACCGAGAGAAGAGATGCAAAAGAGAAAAGAGGGATTCTCTCCTCTTCGATCGTCTTCGTCTCGCGTAGTAGTTTCTGGATGACCATGATTACCAACGAACACATGAAAGCCATGATAGAATACACTATTGTTACACAAGATAAAATAATAGTCGCGCGTATGTGTCGGTGATTGAACAAAGACTATTGACAACTTAGTTTTTTTGCGAAGCATTCTCAGTTCTTGAACTTCAGCCTCATATGTAAAAAGAAATAATGTCATATGTCCTATATATAGTTTATACGAACAATACTTTTAGAAAGTGAGCGCGTTATTCTATTATTAAAAACTTAAAGAGGTTTTAGAACATCCGAAACTAATGTTCTTCGGGAAGAGTTAAAAATATTTAACTAAAATAGCGATGGGTTCATGTGCTGGCATATGACGCTAGAATGACCGCAATACACCGGATTTAAATTTCGTCACTTCGCAGGTATCCACTTTACCAAAAATATTATAGATTCTCGGGTACGAGTACGGAATATGAATCAGCTGAATTATGAACTGGTAGTATATTGATTGCGTACGTCAGACGGTGCGTTTCTTCGACGCAACACGTGAAATAAATACGTGAGAAAAGTTTTGTAAAATCGTATAGATTTTTTTTTGTGAAAAAACAAAACTTGAAACTCTTTATCATTTTTTGCAAACGTGGAATAACGTCCCGTGCAGTTGATAATATTGTGTCATTATGAAACTTGACAAATGTATGTACATACTTAACGACCCAATATTATCAGCTGCATTGACATTAAAACTATATACATATATTTGTCAAGCTTTATATTTAATGATCTCCAACATAATGATCGTCTGAGAGGTTTTTCACAACGGTCAAAAAAACTCACATTGCATTTAAGTATTCTCGTTTATTGGTTTAGATAAGACAAGATAAACTTCTCTTCCACTTTCTCTTTCTCTCTCTCTCTCTTTCTTTCTTTCTCTTTCTCTCTCTCTTTCTCTTTCTCTCTTTTTCTCTCTTTCTCTTTCTCTCTTTCTCCCTGATTTGGATAACAATTAAACAGTTGTATAACCGAAAAACAATCTTTCAATCATCAAATATTATGACGTCAAACGCACTTGGTAACTACTACATAGACATTTTTTTCTTCGTATTAATGACTTCAAACTCGTGGAAAAGTACTTGATACTGTGCGTATGTACTAATCTCATTTACGGCATACTGCCGCACGAAACTTAAATATATACATTGAATCATACAAGTGTCTTTTGATATCTTACTTATCGAATTTGTTGGATGTGGAAAGTAATTGGTAATTACTAAAACGTATTATTTATTATACAATAACGTGACTCGCGTCAACGACAAATTCAACGATTTTCTCGTTGCTTTATATTTTTGAATAAAAAATTTGTTCAATATTATATTGTTCGATAAAAAAAATTTTTTTAACAAACAAATTATGTTCTGTATGTATTCAAAAATTTACGCACATATATTTTCTTTGAATATATATGTATATTGTTTGTATTCGCTTGTAGCTCAATTAACTTGCGTCACATTTCTGTGTCGTAACTCTCACCTCGGCATTGATCCCGAAATTCGTCCTTGGATTATTTCCGGGAAAATTTGGCAAAGTGTTCATTATGTACATTACGTAACAACAGAGTAGCCATAATAAAACTTTTCGAAACGATTCCGACTTTTGTGTCTTGATCTTCTCAAATGAAAAAGACAAAAATGATTTCGATCGGAACTGACTGAATTCCGAGTTAGATAGATGATAAGCCCGAATATGTTTTTCTTGTGACCGTCAATTATAAAGACGTTGCAATCAATATTTATCGATAATTGCAGTTATAATAGCACGTAATAACAGACTGCTGTTTCTTATCTTTTCTTCAGCGTTTATGGGGAAACGTCACATAGTGACTTTCATGATATTCCTCGGTATGGCGAATGCTTATATAATGAGAACCAATATGTCCGTGGCTATCGTGGCGATGGTTAATCACACGGCTGTGGGAAATACTGAAAAGCAGAAGGAAGCTGTGAACGAATGCGGAAACCTTTCCAACGAAACCGAAAGTGATTTCAAACACGTGAGTAATATGTTACGGAGTTACAGTAAGTTACATGAAAACTGTAACTATATCACGTCAACAAAATTCTACGATTATCTCTCTTGAGAGTTCAAAAGTCACTCACATTCTTTTACCTTTACAGGCAGACGGACCGTTTCCGTGGACGAGCACGGAACAAAGTTATCTCCTAAGTTCGTTCTTTTGGGGATACGTTATCACCCAGATACCGTTTGGCATTCTTGCCAAGCGCTACGGCGCCAAATACTTCCTCGGAATTGGCATGTTGATTAATTCAGTTTTCGGATTACTTGTTCCGTTAGCCGCATATCAAGGCTACTGGTGGCTGGTAATTGTGCGTTTTATACAGGGCTTAGGAGAGGTAAGTAATATCGTGAAAAATTTCTTCTTAGTTTAGTAACACGATCCAGTTTGACTGAGACTCAAGAAGAGAGAACGAATGTGTGATGTTTCGGGATAGGATATTGTTTAGTCCAACAAAATAGATGGGCACAAAGTGATAATTGCAAATTGGTACGTGTTGTCAATCACGCGTTCATTACTTCGAGTAGAGTTGTGTTGCCAAAGAACGGGACATATTTAGAACAGCGGTTAATCTATGTTATAATATATATATTTATTACATAAAATTTGTTTATTATTAATATAATTGCTAAGATATTCTTTATTTATACTTGCAGAAACAGATATTAGTACATAATGGTAGTCTTAAGGGAGTAATCCCGTTTTTACGCCTTTTGTTCATCCGGTTGTTTAAACTCTTAGAAAACGGGAACACTCCCTCAAGATTAAAGGATTATATTCGTGATTGAGTGTGAACGTTTTTTGATTGTACGGGTATATTTCCTTCCTCCCCTAGGAATGGATTAATCCCTATTGCAGGGTCCTATTGTGCCTTGCACGCACGCACTGCTGGCGAAATGGATACCGCCTACCGAACGGAGCAGGATGGGTGCCTTCGTCTATGCCGGTAAGCTCGTTCAATGCGATCTCTTCTTCTTTCATGCGATTTTTACCGAGCCGGGAAGTTTGCCACGCGAGAATTCTCTTTCTCTTGGTCTCCTTCTCCTGCTTTCCTCATACTCCCGTCATTGTCTGGGACATTTCGCTGCATCGAGTTACTGCGCATGCTTCTTCCTGTGACGAGGATTGAGCGACGTGGAACGAGATCTTTTCAATTTCTCGAGTTATCTTCTTTCGAAATTTTCTTATATAAGGTTTTCTTATTTTTTGGATGAAAACCAAAAATATCAAAACAAATCGCTTACTGACTATTATTAATCTTGCACTGTTTTTCATTTTCTTTCTTCAATAGGAGCACAATTCGGCACAGTAATTTCCATGCCGTTGAGCGGTCTGTTAGCCGATTGGGAGGCAGGCGGTTGGCCGTCTATTTTCTATGTATTTGGTATTCTTGGTACTGTCTGGTGCATAGGATTCCTCATATGGATCCATGAAGATCCCGAACAAGATCCAAGAATTGCAGAGGACGAAAAGAAGTATATACTTAGCGCTCTTTGGGGTAGCGCTAATACATCCGTTAGTATTTCTTATCATTTTAATCGTATATATTAATACAGTCTTTACTTTTAACTCTAGAACACACAACATATCTAGAACAAGCTATAAATTGTTTTTTTTTTTTTTTTATTAATTTTTTTCAGGCGTCACCTCCCGTACCGTGGAAGTCCATTGCAGTTTCGCTACCGTTCTGGGCCATTCTTATGGCACACATGGGCCACAATTATGGATATGAGACTCTGATGACTCAACTTCCAACATTTATGAAACAAATTCTTCACTTCGACATTAAACAGGTAAGTAACATTGCTTACCTGTGAATACTTCAGAGAGATATTGAGCTGGAAAAAATAAAAAACTCTTTTCAAAATAGTTTGTCAAATCTAAATAGGATTAATTTATATTTCAGAATGGTTTCTTTTCGGCACTTCCATATTTGGCCATGTGGATCTTTTCTATGATCATCTCTCACATCACTGACTGGATGATTACTTCAGGAAGATTCAATCACACAGTAACACGCAAGATCATCAACAGCATCGGTGAATACGCACCAGCGATAGCGCTAATTGGTGCTTCATATACCGGTTGCGATCGTTGGTTGACAATCGCCATTATCACAGTGGGAGTTGGTCTGAATGGTGCTATTTATTCGGGCTTCAAAATAAATCACCTCGATATTTCTCCGAGATTTGCTGGGATCTTAATGTCCTTTACAAATTGCATTGCTAATCTTGCCGGTCTTCTCGCGCCCATCACCGTTGGATACGTTGTCGATAAAGTAATTGAGATTCTTATTCGTTAACAATATATATATATAATTAAACTAAAGATAGTACTTTGAACCTATATATTGTACATTTTAATATTTTTTAAATATTTTATATGTAATATTGTATATGTTTTTAGCCAACGCAAGCAAAATGGAGAACCGTTTTCATGATTTGCGCCGGTATTTACATCTTGTGCGCAACATTCTATGCATTCTTCGGTTCTGGTCAGAGACAAGCGTGGGACAATCCAGATAAGGATGAAGAGAAAAACGAGAAGAATCAGTTGAACAATATAAGAGTCGTGAACGAGACTCAACACTGACACGTGTGACTTCCGTATACGATCAGCGATGGCAAGAACATTGTTACAGCGTGGCGATTGAGTCCATTTGGTCATTTCTTTGTCTACATAAATTCTCATTCCCTGTTAATTATTTAATCATTCATAATGACAGAAAAATACATCCACTGTAGTATAAGTTAATCATACATATGCATATATATACATATATGTGTGTGTGGGTGCGTGTGTGTGTGTGAGAGAGAGAGAGAGAGAGGAGAGGGTGAGCGTGTGTATATAACTTTTTCTTTTTTTTTTTACTGTGAACAATATTTTCAAAATAGTAATTGTCGCAATCTACATTGGAAATTTTGTTTTCGATTGCAAAAGTTACTTACAAAAGTGTGGCGTACGTTTCGTATAAAAAATAAATAAATCAAGGCTAAATAAATTAAGGATCTACAAAGAAACAAAAAGAAACCAGCGAGTAGAAGAAAAAAAACAGATGACCATTTTTGTATCAATTGTAAGACTCTTTCATACTCGCTAAATTATATTGAATAATGACGTCAGAAGCGAGAAAACAAACAGTTCCATTTTGCGCCCAACTCACGTTACAGCAAGAGAGTATTTTCATATAAACTCATTTTTATAATCAACTATTAAAACGCACAGTTGTAAAATATAATCCAACAGTCTTCTGATGTATATTCATAGCGGAGTTATTATTTAAGCTTTGATTTATCATTTTGTTATAGTTTTAATTTATCAATTTTTTACATACTATATATAATATCAGGAATTATATTACTATTAAAATTAAAACAAATTACACTTTAAAGCCGGTATTCATGATCGAATCTTGTATTTAAGATCGTTTTAAGTTTATTTTCAAATCTTATGTCAGTCTCATGCTCTGTAGCCATTAAAACGGCCCGTACAGCATCTTATCGTGGATTTAAAACGATCATTAAATATAAAGTCAAACTATGAATGCCTAAGCACTGACACATTAGAGAAGTATGATGAGTGAAATAATTCTCGAAAGAAAAAAGAGCAACAATCATTGTTTGCAGTTTACACGGATTTTCACAAACTTGCCGGAATTATTGTCATGACAAGCGAATTTTGACGCGGATACGATCTCAAGAAGATAAAAAATTGACGTTTACAACAGTTTTTCGAATATGTTGTTGTTGTTGTTGTTTTGTTCTTTGAAAAACAATTATATATTTATATGTAATTATATTCGAGAAAAAACTTCAAATTACGTTGGATAGTTGGTGAGAACAAAATAAACATCGAATTAAGTTTTCTTAAGCTTAATGTCAAATTTTTTTATACGTATAAAATATTATTCACATGCAATTTTTGGATTTGATGAAGTTTCGATATTGCAGACGACTCTAGTATCTTCTTAAAGCCGGGGACTCGAAAAAAAAACGTAAGCAGTAAAATCTGATATTTGATGCTTTCGCAGTGTGTTGTATTAACATTCGAAGATGTTTTACGGGTTTGAACTGCGTTAGTGTCATTTTTATACCGTCATTTCGTGAACATTTCAGCTCACTGATATTCAGTATTAAGCTGTTCTTGAAACCCTGATGAAGTGAGCTGAAATGACGTCACAAAACGTCGGTATAAAAATGACACTAACGCGATTCAAACCCGTAAACCATCTTCGAATGTGTTAAGCAGTAAAAGACTTTGAAAAGATCGTTCAGGTATTCTTTACATTGCTCGTCTGTGATTAGCTAATTTGCTTGCTGCTTAAATATTTTTGCGCGTCCTCGACTTTAGATAGAACATAAGCACAGTCAATTACGGTAGATTAAATAGATTTACCACGATGCAAAGGACAAATCTATTGTATATTGTCTTCCGAGTTCCGATGTAGCGTTTATTTTCCAGTTAAATTTCATTGTTTTTTTTTTTTTTTAAACGAAACCTTTGGCAGTATTAAAGCAACGATATTTATCGTTCGTCTCTCTTTGTTACGTCATTTTTTTGCCAACTACTGCCATTATATTTTTGAGTAAGTAGTCTGAAAAGTATCTAATATTTTCAGTATAGATGTGAGAAACTGCATCAGAAAAATATAAATCAGGCTTCCCGCGAACAGCATTATAGGTAATACAATATAACAATGGTGTTTATACATATATATATATATATATATATATATGTGTGTGTGTGTGTATATATATATATATATTGTAGATGTTTGCGCATAGAATCTTATTAAGTTATAGATAGTAGATAAATTACATTGCGTAGTTATTTATACAACGTTCACGCGAAGAACGAGAAAAGAGATCATTACCTCGATTGTACTAAAATAGAATTGGAAACAGAAAGGTTTCACACACGTGCGTACGTAATGTAGTAGAATGCATTTTTTTGTAATTGATATCCTTTTGTTTCATAAGCGGCACGACCTAAAGAACAATTCCACTTTCAATTGTAATTTTTCTCTTTCGAATATTTGCCAGACTATAGATTTGTTGCAATCAATTAAATAGTGGTCGTTGATATCTTCGACGAAATACGTAAACAAAACTAACAAATTTGCGCTTTTTAAACACATATGTCGAATAACTTTCTAAGAGTAATATGTTTATTAATCTTTCTTTCATTTGTTACGGTTTCGGGTTTTTCTTCATGAAGAATTACATGTTTAAAAGATATACGCAATGCGAACACTTTTAACTTGTTGAAAATGTTAATATTCTATTAAGTTTTTAAATAAGAAATAAAAAAGACGGCGCGTTTACACGTTCGAGATCTATTTTGCTCGTGAAGACAAACGTGAAACAATTAAATTGTCCAAAATCGTGTCTAACACTATTTAAAATTGTGTACCAACAATTTCAGCAAACATCAAGTAACAGTAACATTGTCGTAATGTAAAACATTGTCCATCCTAATGTTACTTGGTATAATGTTGCTGGGATTATATATATATATATATATTTTACTATGTATAATTTTTAAACAATGTAGATAGCACATATACTTGTCCACGATAGTTTGTTCATCTTGCAAACAATTATCTTATACTTTGTACAGATCATACAGAATAAGCATATAAATATAAATATGTATTGCAAATAGAGAAAATCAAAATCAAGGAAATTTAAAATTACGACTTGTTTAAAAATATACTGGTTTTTATCGAGCGTTCTGTTCTTTTCGAAAAGTATACCCTACGAAAGCATAGCATCGGTAAAATAAATTGTCACGTTGTCCAAAATATTTGACGCTATTACATATTCAAAACTTTATGTAAACTTCAGTCCTGCTTAGATTTCAAAATATTATTTTACCGATCGTTGACATGATAACGCGTATAATAAAAAATACGAATGAACTAATATCAAAATAATTTCGGCGCAAAACGATGTGAGGAAGCAAAATTATCTAATAGTAAATAATAAAACACTAATTGAAATTTTGCAAACTCAGTTTTTTGTACACACATATTTATTCACACGATAGATTTCATCGCTGTGATTACCGTATCGTTTTTTTTTATTTTCGTATAAATAAAATCTTTGTGTGAAGTGAAGCTTTAAAATAAAGTAGTAATTTTTTGAAAATATAATTCTTTTGTCAATCAGAGAACCTCCCAAGAAAATATCCCAAGACGGCGTAAGCTTCCTGACGCTTGTGCGAAAATCCGCCATTGCTCCAATGTCATACATAATCGGTACACGAACTCGAGATCTCTCGCGACTACATTATACACAATGCGTGCATTTCACATACCATCCGAAGTATGGATAGCCGTTTCGAGACACAGACCTTCAATTTTACACTATTACCTGTGCTACCTTACCGTATTCTACCTGTATATTCGAGATTTGTCGAAAAGCATTCGTGAGAACGACGAAAGCTGACGAAATCCTGAAATTGCACGTTACACGAAACACTTATAAGACATTCACAACCGCAGACTGTATTGGCGCGATTAGAAGAGGCTATACATAAAAAATGTAGCGTTCGTGAATAATGTTGTATGTTTCACACAATAATGCGGCTTATTAAGTTGATTATACCTTTCACGTTTCTAATGTTTCCACAGAATCGTGTCCAATGATCATTTTATACAAGAGATTATTCGTCTTATATACGCACGATAAAAGAATTAATTATGTTCGGATGACCGATACTCTCTCTATATCGACGCGAGATCTCTCAGAGATTTCTGTGCAAATTATTCGACGAACACAAAAGAGAGAACATGCTCCTCCTCGTCCTGTACATTTTTGCGTTGTCGCTTAACAAAGACACGACCGTCTCCTCCCATCGAATCGACGATGCGATCGTAAAATTTATTGCCGACGCGATGCCCATTTTATTCCCGCCGTCGAGGATGTTTCTGCACTTGTGTCTCCTCAGCGATGGCAAGATTTTCAAATTTACGATATTGTCGTATTTAAAAGACACGTTTTGTTTGCTCAGCGCCAGATCTTTTCTTTATTGTTTACTTTAATTGTAAATTTCATTTATTTTCTCTTCTCAGACGACACGATTAGATTATCGAGAGACATGTCGGGTCATTACGTAACGCACAGTGTTTGTAATTCCGTCGAAGATCTCGACCGGATAATTTACGACGACTCGAAGCATCAAAATCTGCACACGTTGGACCTGGATTGTGATTACGCCGCTGAAATTTTACGACAGGTACCGCGTCGAATACATCTCTCTCTCCAGAAACTCTCATCGCCGCGACTCCTTTTGAGTTAAGTAATTATATTATCTCTGACATATTACGTGACAGGCACATTTGAAAAGAATGTTCGTCGCCCCGACTAAATGGCTGCTACTTCAGGATCGGAGAGGAAGAAAGATCGATAACACGAGGAATGTCACTTTACTGGGCGACGATGATTCTCTGACAGAAATATTCCAAAATTTGGCGGTCTATCCTGACAGCGATGTTGTTTTAGCTCGAAGATTCGACGGTGACTTTCTCGAGTTAACGTCCGTGTATCGGCCGAGTCCGCAGAAGAGCGTGATATGGGAGAACCGTGGAAATTGGACAATTACGAGCGGTTTGAAAATGAGAACCTTCGACGTGGCTTCCGCGCGGCGAAGAAATCTCCGACAAACAGCTCTCAAGTCCTCTATCGTGGTAGATGTGCTTTTAAAGACGTCAAATATTCCTATCTTTTTGTTTTTTTTTTTTTAAGCCCAAGAGAACGTTTATATGATTTCTTCACAAATGTGTCTGTGATTGCGCAGATAACCAATCCGGACACGATCAATCACTTGACCGACTTCGAGGACATAACCGTAGATACTATCACGAAAGCTAATTACCCTTGGGTGTTTCATTTGGTAAACCGAATGAATGCTACGTGAGAATCTGCAATCTCTTCTGACATTCAATAATTAATTACGCTAATTACAATATGTAAAAAAAGATAGAGGGAGTAACGCGACTATAAATTAATTTCCTAAACGATTGTTTTCTTTGTTTTCACACGACAGGGTAAGTTTCATTCATGTGAATAGTTGGGGATACCGCGAGAAAAATGGATCTTGGAATGGAATGACCGGATTGCTGCAACGACGTGAAATTGATATCGGCACTAGTATGTACATGGTTGCGGATCGCATGGATGTAGTGCAATATGTCCAACTGTACACACAAACCAGGTAAAATCGCGTCTGGTTTCGGATAATCAGCCGAAACAATTGGTAACACCGTGATAAATCTTTTTTTTTTTTTTTTTGCGCAACGCGTGTTGTATTTTCACATCTATCTTCGACAACAACAGTCTGTAAAAAATATTAAAAAAAAAAAACGATTGTGTAAAATTGTTGCATAGCTCGTGCTTTGTGTTTCGACGACCCTTGTTGTCGTCTGTGAAGAATATCTTCGAATTGCCGTTTCAACAAAACGTTTGGAAAGCGATAGCTGTATTTCTTCTCGTTGTCTTTTGTCTGTTGTATTTGTCTATGAAATGGGAGCATCACGTGTATCAGGACGCTTCAACAAAATCAGCGATTTACTGGAAGCAAATAAATAACGACGAGCCGACAGTCAGTGATAATTTTCTCATTATTTTGGGCGCAGTCGCTCAACAAGGTACACTTTTTGTCGTTTTTTTTTTTTTTTAAATAATCGCCTGATTAAATTAAACGCGTGTATCCGTCCCTTTGCACAGGATATTCGTACGAGCCGTACAGAATCTCGTCTCGGATTGTCAGTCTCATGTTATTGCTGGCCTCCTTGAGTCTTTACGCGTCCTATACGGCAAATATCGTGGCTCTCATGCAATCTACCACGGACTCGATCAAAACCGTTTCCGATCTTTTGTACAGTTCGCTAATTCTCGGCGTGCACGATACTGTTTACAATCGACATTATTTCAAGGTTTGGTAAAAACTGTGCAAAAATAATTTATTTTTCTAAACTATAAAAACCTATAATAAAAAGAATAAAAAAACAAGAGGGATAATTCGGAACGCAGTCTTTTCAAGATCCCATCAGAAGGAAGACATACGAGCAAAAAATCGAGCCGAAAGGACGCACGTTTTCCGCCTGGATGAGTCTGGAGGAAGGACTGCGTCGTGTGAAAAACGAACACTTCGCGTTTCACGCACCCCGGGGTCCGACATACCAAATTATGCGACAAACTTATCAGGAAGAGGAGAAATGCGGCATAACCGAGATCGATTATTTGAACTTGATATATCCAATCTTTGCGACGCCAAAACAATCGCCTTATCTAGAAATACTTAAAACTGGGTAAAAGAATTACAAATACAGATAGCGCGCGCGCGTGAGAAGAAAACCTCACAGTAGTTACAAAATCTTGAAATTTCTTATCAATATACTAAGTTTGTTAGTGCGGGGTGTGCGCGCGCATAAGTTACAAAATTACAAATTGCTTGAGAGATATACTTTCAGAATGTTGAGGTTACAAGAATACGGACTCAAACATCGCGACGAGCATCGCTTGTATCCGAAAAAGCCGGTGTGCTCAAGTCAGAACAGCTTCATCACGATCGGTTTGACGGAATGTTATTTTGCATTAGTCACGATGGGTTACGGCATGTTACTTAGCGTAGTCGTACTCGCACTCGAGTTATTGTGGCACAAATGGTAAAATTTTTTTTATTAAATTTATATTACATGTGAAACTTTGAAGAAAATATTCTTCGTATTGTTTTACAGGCAAATCAGAAACATGACGGAAGAAACAACATTCCATCTGCAATCAAAATAAACACATTTTGAAATCGTCAAATACTCGAATTAAAATGTGATAACGCGTAGAAATACGTTTACTTAGAAAATCTAGGATAAACATATTTTGAAATCGTCAAATACTCGAATTAAAATGTGATAACGCGTAGAAATACGTTTACTTAGAAAATCTAGGAATGTACATGTCTTTTTTTCCTAGAGATAAGAAATAAACATATCTTTTCTTTGTTCTTTTTCTGTTTTCTATAGTTGAAAAAAATTGCTTTTAATCCCCGTATTCTATTTCTATTTTTGTTTTGTGCATCGTGATGGATTGTTACCGCGCACATGTAAATCCATTGCTCATGAAATGTGTATAGCACACACACACACACACGTTTCTTCGAAAATTGCACATCTTGAATTTTTAATGCGATAATGTGGAATGTCGTGCCGCGATTTCGTTACTCATCTTTATAACTGGGTTTGGAAAACTAATCATCATAAATACACACTGTATCATCTAATCGAATCGATTACGTGCAACATGTTGTGACGACAGGGTGTCATGGCAACTCGCGGCATACAAGCGGTCGACGGTAGTTCGTCTTTGATGTTTCGCATTATAATGTTGCCAAAATGTTGAACCGTGTGTGAAAATGTCGTTGTTCAAGACAAAAGAGTGGTGGAGGACGCAGTGCGGAGTGAACGAATCCTTCGACGGACGCAGTTTGTTGATCACGTCGTTGTTCGGCGTCGAACGAAAGGACGTCGTCGTCGTCGGCAGCCACAGCGGATATCTGCGGATCTACAGTCCGTCGTCACAATGGACGGACGAGACCAAATCGCCAAGTGGCTTCAAGTCGTCGGATCTGCTCATCGAGACGCAAATTGGTGACTGCATCATCGACATCAAAGCGGGAAGATTTGTTTCGTAAGCACATATATACACCTGTTTTGTTTGTGTAACAAACTGATGCTGATTGAAACGAGCGTCGATTTGTCTCAGGGGCTCACAGAACATTCGACTTGCGATACTGATGCCAATGAAACTCGTCGTGTACAGCATTCTCTTGAACCAAGGTTCCGTCGAACACGGTTCGTGCATTTCGTAACGTATGATGTGAAATTGCGAGAGAGTTTATTACGAGTTTTTGATCATTTCTTTCTTTTTTTCTCTCGCGAAAATAAATTGGTCTATTTCAATTTTAATTTTATAAAAATGAAATTTATATATTTTTTCTTCACTTTCATTTACGCGTTTCTAAATTCAGATATTTTTAATTTAACTGTTTATTTGATTTAGTTATTGTTATTTTATTATAATGCCATTTCAGGAGACCGGTGCGATCTGGAGGTCGCTTACGAGCACTTGCTACCGCGATTTCCAGTGTTCCTGACGACAGGCCCATTCGGCGGTGTGCAGGGTCGGGACTTCTTCTGCGTTCAGTGCTTGGACGGCACGCTTTTCTTCTACGAGCAAGAAACTCCCACCTTCAGTCTCATTCTTGGAAATCGGTTACTGCCCGAGCCGATTGTTTACGTTTCGCGGAACGACGTCTTTGTGACGCCGAACTCTTCGTGGATCCTCGAGTGCTACAGGCAAGTCAATCCATCGTACCGATCTCGGTAGCCCGTCAATGAAGAAATAACATCAAATTTAAGATTTAATCTTTATTTTTTTGTGAAAGTGCGTGACGCGTTTCTCGCAGATACAAAAGTATTGCGGAATTTGGCAACAAGGACCGCACGGAAGGACCGAAGAGCCTGGAGCCGGACTGGAGTTACAACATCGGTGAAGCTGTTCTCGATATCGACGTTGTCGTTTTGAGCAGCTTCGAAGTCGCAATCCTGGTGCTCGGTGAAAACAATCTCTACTGTCTGAAGGACAATTGCGTCTCTCTCAAGTACGCGAAGAGATTCGACTACAAGCCCCTGTGCTTCCAAGCTTACGTGATAGGTAAGATATGATCGATGATGAGATATTGGAATGAAAGAGAGGAAAAAACGCCAGATCGTCTCCGACTGCTTCACCACTTTTTTCCTCTCTTTTCCGAAAAAAGAAAAACAAAACCGAAGCGGATCGTGCGCACAAGCCGATCTCTGGCGCGCGACAAGTATAATTTACTTTTAACAGGTATAAAAAATAAATGTAATCGGGCGCGCGATGCTTATAGAGCCGGATGGTAAGCTGATGGTGCTCGTAATCGCTGACACAAACACTCTGATGATTTATGAAGGTACAACTCTTAAGTGGTCGGCTCAGCTGCCTCTCACTCCGGTCGCTGTAACTCGAGCACATTTTCAGGTAACTCGCTGCATAATTCTGTCACTTGTGCTATCGCTCTCGAAAGATATGCGTTCCGAGATGTTATTTCGTAGAACGCCCCGCGTCGCCGAGAAAAAGAAAGAACTCGAACAACCTAACGATTTTTCTTGTAATTTTTTCAAAGATAATTTGTTCGAGTAACAAAGTTTACAAACGACAGGATAAAAATGTGATAAAATTTCTTTTAGCTGCGAGAAGCAACGATTATCGGTGCGAACGAAGATATGCCGTTTCTATTCAAATAACGATATTGGAGAATGACTAAAAGAAACTGTGAGATAATGTTTTTTGGAATGTTTTCAATTATAGAACAGAGAATTACAAAATAATTCCGCAATTTCGAAAAAGACCTCGATAGTCGCATATCTATGTACGTTCGCACCACGATAGTCCGCAATCAGAGCCGATGACATTTGACAAAGAACCAAGCGAGACCTCCGTCATATCGCTGTTCCTCTTCCGTGTCGCCATTATCGGCCTCCGCCAGTCGTTGTTCCTCCAACAACGTCCAGGCTCGGATCTATCGCGCGTCCTTGTTGGAGCTGAAAGTCGCTCCTAACTTCCACGCTAAATTTATTTTAAAAAAAAAACAGCTAATGAGGAAAAAATATACACCTTCATATTTTCTCTCAACGATCATATTTTTTGCAGAACCTATTAACGTTATCTTGGAAACTACTTTGGTTTTTTTTAATTATGTAGAAATTCGACGGCATAAGACAAGAGAGAGAGAGAGAGAGAGAGAGAGAGAAAAATAGATAAAGATAAAGGCGCGAGGAACTCGAGCGACGACCGAAAGAGGCAATCGAGAAGACTCGAAGCGCGTCTGCATCGGTAATGAAAGAGAATCGCTAAAGGAAAAAAGCGCAAAAATGTAGGGAAGGACGAGGAGTTGGAGCATTATCACCCTGGTTTTATCTTATCGTCCCTGCCATAGCTAGGGTACGGCTAGCAAGGTTGCGATTGTTGTCTTTCCGGAGGATACAGTGCGCGCGCGCGCCAATTCCTGGCTAATTAGCTTAATACCGAGAACTTCGCTCAAACGTCAAGTCCAAATCATATAATTGCTTCGCGCGTATTTCGTTGAGAGAAGAAAAACAAAAAAATGCTTAAATCCAGCCGAACATTAGCGTGAAAGCAACAACAAATAATTGAATTAATTAAAAGTCAAACCACTTTCTTTTGATTTTTGTTCAGCATTTAGATGGAGTAATCGTCGTTCTCTCGGATGAAGGACAGTTGGAGGCTTGCTATTTAGGCTCGGAGCCGTCATTGTTTATCGCGCCTCCTATTCATCGACGCGGTTACGATTACGTGGCCGCCGAAGACGAGCTTATGGAGCTTCGCAAGATGACGAAGAAAAATAAGACTTCCGGTATGAATAACCAAGTCAAGAGAGACGTACATAACACGCGTCGTTAATGACACATATAAGAAATGACTCTCAATTAAATTTCTCAGAAAATTTCTCTCTCTTATCTTAGTTACTTCATAATTGTTTTTTTTTTTTTTTTTTCACTTAAATATTCCAAGTAAAAAGCAATTATTTTGCAAGGCGTTCAGTTAACCGACGTCACCATGGACGCCGAGCTGATAATGTCCGTGACTGTGTTTCTGGACGCGGAGTCTCGTCCACGCGAAAATCAGGACAATTCTAAGGACACTTCGGACGGTCACAACTTGGTGTGTAAATTAACTATAGAATTGTCCACGTACACGACGCTTCACGACGTTCAAGTGTGCGTGCGTGTTTTGGAACCGTTCGCCGCCGAGAAAAACTGCTACGTTATTAACAATCTCTGTAAGCATACACACGTCACATGTAAATTAATTTATTATTGTAAACAAATTATTTTGTTCAATGCAATTACAAAATATGAAGTTTTGGCTTTGTCGAAGTTCGACTGTTCAAATACGGTTCACGTTTTCGATTCGAATTCTGCCCTCTTTTAATCAGACTAAATACAAAAAAAAAAAAAAAAGGTGACCGGCACGTTTTGCGCACGAAGATCTACACGACGACGGATCTGCCGGCGATATCGTCGGACGTGAGAGTCACAGCGAGCTACGAGACGGCGGATTGCGGGAGAGTGTGCGTGCTTCAGAAGACGGCTCAACTGCCGGTGAAGATGATATTGAAGACTTGCCCACCCGAGAACACGTCCACCTTCACAGCGACTCTCAAGTGCAGCGAGCCTCTCGTCGCTTTTAGCCAGCTGTTTCCCGGTAAATCTATTAGCACCGCGGTGCGTATAAATGTCCCTTCTCTTTTCACGACCGAGACACTGGCGACGATGCTGTTCAGCTTCACGCTTTCGGTCTTCGCGAATTTTTCTGTCGATTGTTATGATAAAATTTTTTTATTCATCAACAACTCTCAAAGAGTTCTTTCAGTTCAAAAAATCGATTAATGGAAATTACAAACTTTTTGTTTGTTTTCGTCAAGAAAAAGAAAGGAGTTTTTTTTTTTTATTGAAAAGTCAAAACCCGAATCGTATTTATATTTTTGTTAATTTTTTTTGTTTTACAGAACTCACCGGAAACGTACAGAAGCAAAGTTGGAACGCGTTGGGATTGCAGCACGTGCGAACCGGCAGCGTGGTGACAATCGTTTCTGGCGCTACCAGCAATCGATATCGCATACAATCGAACGATGGACTTTCGATGACCTTGGTGGTGGAGCAATTGTTGAGCAGGCTGGAAAACAAAGCCGCCGGAAACTTAACGACCACCATCGCGCAAAACCACATCCAGCTGGTTCAAACTCAAATGGAGGCCCACTTTCGTAACCGCCAGGAAGTCGACAGAATCGCGGTAATATTTTTATTTCAATGAGGCGCAAACCACATTCCCGGTCTCGATATGCACAATCGAACAATTTGAATGAACAACTGAGCCCACATAATTTTGTGTGTGTTTTTTATGAAAATTTATTTACTTTCTGGTTTTTTAAGTGAAACTTTCTTTGTTTTTTATGTTATTTTCTTTATTCGTCTTTTTAAGAAAAAGTGTTGTGAACAAAATTCTCTTTACGTATCTAAGAATTTGAGATTGCATGTCTCTTTTTCCCTCTCTCTCTCTCTTGGCTTTTTTCGACGCTCTCGTAAGATCAATTTCTCCCGCAATCGTCCCGCGACGATAACGATGATGGTGTTCTTCATCGTAGCCGTCGTCGTCAATTAATGACCGTCGTTTTTCTCAATGTGCTTTTTTTGTTGTTCGCAAATATAGAGCGAACTCGAGCTGCTGTCGACCCAGTTGAGAAACATCGAGCGAAAGATGCTGCGCGCCGTAAGAGAACGGAGCACTCGATCTCTGGTCGCGAGCAGACTGCCGTTTCTCTTAGAAGCGACCTATCGCGCGACATTCGCTCTTCTCAACGATCTGGCGATCGCACAAGCGGTAATCAACTTTCTATTGTTCAGTCAGTTTTTGTTCACTTTCGGGTCAGTTAAAAATAAGTTTTTCCCCCAAAAATTGTGCGCAAAAATAATGTCAATGTTGGATCAAAATTTTTATTTCTGAGAGACCGACGTGAATAGACTGGCGCAGCCCACTCGCCGTAGATGAGATGCTACAATATGATGTACGATAATTGGGGCTGTTGCAGGAACGGAAACGTACCGGCCACGGTCTGCAGTGCGCCGTGAGGTTACTGCTCCTATTATTGCGGCTTAATGTAAACGACGATAAGTACGCGATGTTTGAAGCCGCGATAGGATTCGAACCGCAATTGCGGGACGAACTCGTAAGTTCTTAGAGTGATAGTTTTTCTCTCTCTCTCTCTCTCTCTCTCTCTCTCTTTTCTCTTTCTTTCTCGTACACAAAATATAAAAAAATATAAATTTAATAATTTATAAGACTTCAAAGTGAATTAAAATTCTTATTTATATTTAACAAAATTAATTATGCGGCCAATATGCGCCGCATCATTCGACATTTTGCCTCCCCCGTTATATTATATTGTTCTTGCTTTGGTAAATGTTCCATCAAACTGGTTCTTTAGGATTGGGAAGAGATCGCCGATGCCGGATTGAGCGCCTTGCTACGGTCCATGTCAAGAAAATCGTCTACTATCGGACACCTGGACGCGAAGACCACCGCGTTGAACAAAATGACGTCCGTTAAAGAATTCGCGAAGCTGAAAAAGCGTCTTGTTCACGCAATCGAGCGACTCGATACTTACCGGGAAGACGACATGACCGAGAACGAGCAGTTGGAGGCTGCTTCTTAAAATTCTGCGGTCGACCACGTCTCTCTTCGAACTTTATTACATCTAGTTACAACTGCGATCGAAAATAAGTTATCTATTTATTTTTAACAAAATTTATGCACGTACTCATGAACATTGCAGCGGGGCCGATGATTTATGTTATAACGTGCGGTTGAAAATTAAGATGTTCCTTTTAAAATAAAATATCATTTTGCGTGGATAATCGTGTTGATGATTGTTCGGACAAAGATGGAAGAAGAAACGCAGCACACAGCGGTGAAACATAAGAGAGAGAGACCCTCCTCTCGCGTCTGTTACCGCTGCAATAAAATTTCGACGGAAGGATGCGTTTCCCTTCTCCTTTTGTCTCTCCATTCTCCCGCTGGCATTTATGATTTAATATGGGACCACCTTGCTAAACTCGTAACCCTGGGACCACCAATAGCGATGTGTTTGAGGATCAAGCCATCGTGAGAGAAAGGAAGAGAAAGAGAGAGAGAGAGAGAGAGAGAGAGAGGTCGGCAATCAGCGGATAACGAGGCAAGAAAAAAGACGGGAGTATCCGAAACGAAACCTGCTAGGGCGACTAGGGCTTCTTTTCCAGAACTCTCTCTCTCTCTCTCTTTCTCTCTCTCTTTCTCCTTCTCTCGTTCCTTGATAATTGATGACTCCCCACCAATTACCGCGTTCCTTTGCTTCTACCCTAAACACACATCTATTACTACCTGCGGCTGACCGCAGGACCAACGGACCCACAAATAGAGTACAATCGAGACCGCCTCGATCTTTCAATAGATATACCTTTTGTCAAATAAATTCGCGAAGAATATATCTTTCGACTGATATCTTTGTTTTCAGGGAAGTGTGATCTATTAATGACACAAACGCGCATGCGTGTAGAATACGTGCTTGTTAATTTCTAATAAAAGTGAGAAAAGAGAGTTGCGCTGTCTCTTTCTATCTTAAATATAATTCACAAGCACTGAAAATATTTTTTAATCAAACGTACAGATTAAAATATTCACTAGTTCGTGATGATTCGCGCACGAACAGCTGATCAACATTTTATTTTAGCTCGATTGCCGCGTGATTATTAGCGCTCGCACGCTATACAGTTTGTGCGATGTTATAACATCGCGTTAATAAATTAACGGACCTACTCGCCGGCTTAATGTAACCAATTAAACCGAAAATAGACGTTACCTCGCCGCGCGATGCATTATCTATTTTCGCTTGCGGCGCACGCACGGCGCGACCGCTCGCTGCGCACCGAACGGCGAGAGATTCGCTCGAGGAAAACAAATCTTGACGGCAATAACTTCTTCGAGGAAGTAAGTCCGTCGGATGGGAAACGCGCATATATATATATATATATAAGGGCAGATATATAACGACCGTGATTAATCGGCGAAAAAATCTGCGAGATCTATCTTGTAAGACAAAGTGCCGCGGATAAGTAACTGCCTAAATGGGGTCTGGCCAGTGTCGGAAATACGAACTGTAATCGTCGGCACAACTGTCGCCGATGAACCATTGACACAAGTGATATTGGCCGAATAAACTGGTATTTAATGGTATAATAACTTCATCCGTATCGTTTGTACATCATTTAGTGGCAGTGTATGTCCATTATTTTACAGTAATTTACCGATAAAGATATGTTGCTTCGATCCGAGTCATAACAAAAAATCGTTAATAACGCGCGCGTGTTACGTACGTATCAAACAACGCGCGCGATGTGTGCGTGTGCGTGTGCGTGTGTGTGTGTATCTGTACATTAGAAACACACGTAACTCGTGTGCGCGACAACACAGATTTTTCAAACAAAACCAGCGGCGATTATGCCAACGTATCTGCGCATCGTCCGTTGCCGTCGTTTATTTGCTCTCGCTCAAACAAATTAGCGTTTACAGTAGAACGCGAACTCGAAGATTTTCTTAGAGCGCGTGCACGCGCTTCTTTTCTGTTGAAATTACGACGTACGTGCGATCGTTTTCTCTTTCTCAATTTTTTTTCTCGGAGACCACAGTTTGCTTGTCTTTTTGTTCCGCGATAAGAGGCTCGGAGAGGAATCGGAAGAGCAGCGAAAAATTCGCCAGTGTGTAGTCGGTGAGAGTTGGGTCTCGTCCTTTTCAAGATTGCAAACGAGATGCGCGTGCGAAACATTCCGAAACGACCTTGCCATAAGCGAGATACGCGAGTACGGCAATAAACCACACACGTGTCGCATATAATATCCAATATGTATAATATTCGCGTACCCACGAGGGAGGGCTCGAAGATTGATGTTACAATGAGATAATCTCGCGTTTGTTATGTTTGATGCAACAATGCGTTTCGATAGGATTTTAAATAGGAAAAGCATGTAAAATTTAATTGCAAAATTAAACATAACTTTATTAAATATGTGTCTAAAAACAAAGTATACAAGAAAATAACAATCTATATTTTTATTTATTTCCGTTTCTCATATTTAATCTTTTAAATAATAAAATGCTTGGAAATGTCATTATTACTTGGTACCAATTATATCTACTCCGCGATAAGTTGCACACACACGAATATTGCGACATCGACAACGCATGTCGACAAGCCAATGGAATTAGCGACGATTTCCATTTAAGTCGACCCGCGGCACAACACTATCGTGAATCACTTCCGGGCGTTCGCGCGCGCGTATCATTCCTTTTTAATATATAATCTAACTATTCGCATGCGCGTGACACGCTCGCATTCCGGGAGATTGCAACACGAAGATCGTTCGTTTTCGGCGTAAACTGCCGATAACGCGAGAAGTGTATTGGAGAAAAAAAAAAATTGAACTCTGCGCGAATATAAACGCGGCAAAATAAAATAAAAAAATTTTTCTGCGTCCGTGTGGAATAACGAAAAATCCCACACTACGTATAACCGAGATATTAGATAATTGAGATTTTGAAATTCCAACAGATGTGGGAATTCTCTTGTTCACATTTTTCACTTCGGTATGCGATCCTTTAAAAGAAGAAGAATTTCCGAGTCCGGAAGATATCAATTAACGATGTAGAAGATAATCTTTTTTTTTTCACTAAGTAGGTTCATAAATTATCTTGATCGTTTGGAAAAGTAAATAAGGGACACGATAATGGGAAGCGAGCATGACAGAACGAGATCTCCCGCGGCAAATGCCGCGAAACAAAGGGCCGGTCGTAAACCTGTCAGAGCTTTCTTTTTTATGGTCGACTCCTTTTTTTGTGCGGTGGGAATAGAAACTTTTTCTTATCGTGTGACGCATTTTAGGTTTCTTCACGGAGAACATCGCTCTGCAGTATCTTTTGATAATTCCAAAGAAATATAAAGACAAACATAGGATGTCTCAGAAATTCCTCGCGCGTTCTCTCTAGGTTGAGAAATAGTAATATAGTCTTGAGAATATATTGAGAAATAGTAATATAGTCTTCTTATTAATAAGAAAACAAGAAGAGTCTTTATAGGACACGGAGAGCGGAGAAGGGATCTAAAAAATCGTTTCTAATGTAATTGAGGCTTCAGCTTTCGATTGAGTTTAGGAACTCAATCGGTTCGGAGCCGTTACTGAGAGATATAAAAATCTCGGTTCTGGTGTCCGACTCGCGCGTGAAGTGAGTCACGGTCGACCTCGCCGCCGCGCGCCACTTCGTTGCGCGTGAACTTGGCGCGAGAGCCACTACCGTGGCCTCTTGATTTATGTGCACGCCTTGCTAATTACTTTAAATAAATTATGTAATAAATTATGTAATATGATAGTTTCACACAGTTAACGATATATTCAAGCACAACGAGGCATAACAACGGGCACATTATTATGGAATAAATCAGATACGGAGAGAGACAGAAGTGGGTTTTCTTTTTTATTTTTTCTTTTTTTTTTAGTACAGTCTTCGTTCTTCGGGTTGGGCGCTGTTGATACACGACAGCGACTAAATTATCCATTCGTCAGGTATGCGCCCCGTTATTGGCCGAGCAGGCTTGCACGTGAATAGACAAAATGTCAAAAGATTTGATTTACGAGGCAAACTGGCGCGCCAACTCGGGAGAAATTAAGCGGAGCAGCTTGATGAGCCCCCCGGCCGGTCGGACTTTACGGCTCTCTCTCAACTTTTCGATCCGAAATGCGGTATTCGCGCGCGCACGCGTGTGTGTGTGTGTGTATGCGTGAAGCGTGTCATTGCAACATTAGCTTCTAGCGCGTACAATTTTGAGATTTGATGAAAAACGGTTTTGAATGAATTATATTAGATTGTGCAATGCGATGTGACGTAAGGCGAAGCGATACAACGTAAAAAAGCCTAACTTGGCACTTAATTAGAAACGTTAATCGAAGGAATTTCATACAGGCGCGCGCGAATGTTTATTTTACCGCGCGATATTACTCGCGAACAATTTCAGCAGCGCGCAGGCCGCGAAATAAGAGACTCGGTATTACCCGAGTCTCACATGCAAAACGGTTGGTCGCGATTCTTTATTGCGCTCCTTCCGAAGAGGAGAGTATCCTTCTCTCCGTGCACATCGCCAACATCTCGCGGTAGCAAACTCCTCTCTTGCCCTTTCTCAGTTCTTCACCTTTTTCTTCCTCTGCCACATACCGCTCACGGACACGTGCTCGTGTTTATGTGCCCGCCTCTGCCGCTTGCATCTCTCTCTCTCTCTCTCTCTCTCTCTCTTTTTATCCCTTCATTTCCTCTCTCCTTCTGCATTAAGATGCACGATGTGCTCATTTGCACAAGCGCACCTCTATTCAGAGAAAAACCGAGATAGCTTGCGCAAAAGTGCGAGCGAGCCAGTAAGCGATCCTACGAGCTGGTACAGCGGTGCACGTGCACGGATGAGAGGACACAAAGGAAAAGAGAGAAGGGGGAGATCAGCGACAGGTAGCTCAGTCGCCTTGTGTTTACGAGAAATGTATCGCGGTGGAAACACCTGCGGAGCACTGCGAGACTGTGTGAGATTTAAATGAATGTCAGAGATACCGATGCGCCACTATATCTCACGTAGGGATTTATGATTCCGTCTGATCGTCGATTGTATGGCGAAATATACGTACCGCGAAGATAGACGAAGTGTTTCTTCAACACATAATGTCTAACTGACGGACTTCAACAAAATATTGTGTCAAAAATAAGAATTAATATCAAAATTATTAGAATAGATGTATCTTTAAAATGTATTTTTACAAATAAATAATAGAATAAATATACACAAATTAATTTTTCTCTTAATTAATTAGATTCTTATTGCGTGGAAACAACACATTTTCAATTAAACAGATTGAATTTGTGTTCATTTGTTAAACAAATTGAACAGTGAAAAGCAACAGATGTTGCTTTAATCTCGAAAAGATATTTAATGCGCGCACTATAAAACCATACTTTTTATATATGTGATTTTGCGCACTCATCGCGCCGGCGATCTCTCTCTTTATATCTCGCAATCTCAGCGTGGAATATTGCCGCGCGATCTTCGGTATATTTTTACTGCGTCTGTATATTTTGTCGAGCGTGCCACACGCCCCTTGACTCAGACTTTGTCGACAAAGTTACGATATTCTCGTGGATGTTATTCTAAGAAAGACAGTTAAGCCACCCGTCTACATAAGTCTCTCACATCCAGAACGTAGGTTCGCAAACGCAGACGCGAGATGACGTATTGGCAAGACGCAAATCGCGGCTTGGTTCACGCGCGCGCGCGAGTCGGATCAACTTTTTAACCCTCCGCCGGCAATGTGAGAGCAAATAAGCGCGGTAGAACTTAGGGCTAGAAGAATACACACTTCTCTGTTGTTTTTTTTTCTTTCGGCGTTAATCCCACCTGCAATCAATCGTCCCTTATATCCGCGTCCCGCGGATTTCCCAAAGCGCGCGTGCACGTGCGCATATATATATACGCGCCTCTGCCGATTCCTCTCCTCCGCCTCTCCACAAGGAGGAAACCCTCTCTTCGCTACCAAGACGTCCTCTTTCTCCCTCTCTTCGACGACCACTGCCACTACCACAATCACCACTACTACCGCCACCTTCAGTCTTGCCCTCCTCCTTTTTCACTCTCTCTCTCTTTCTCTGTCTCGCGGCTCGACCGCGAGCGTGATCTTCGTTACTCCATTCTAGCACGGTGGTAGAAGTCGTAACGGAAGAGTGCAGCTGCGACGAGCAGCTGACGCGGAATCATTCAGGTTTGTAGTAGTCCTCGCGCCGCGTACGCGACATCACACGACGTCGCACATATAGTGCGCAGTGGACACTCACCGGTGGTGGATCTCACGAGACGGGGGTCTCGCGCGAGAGGTGCATTATAATCTTTGTACTCGCGCGAACGCAAATGAACTCGCGTAACGAGTGTGCACGCGAAGAAAACTCTCCTGCTGCCTATCGTAATCGCGTCTCGGTCACGATCGGTGCGGTGTGTCGTCACGCCGATTCGCGGCAAGGTGCATCGGGGTGTCCGCTTTGTGGCTACGAATCGAATCACGACCCGTGATTGCTGCCGGAGAGGAGGGCTGTGAAAGAGCACGGCGACAAGTGTGTGCGCGCGCGCGTGCGCGCTCTGACGAGAGGAGAGAGAGAGAGATAGAGAATACGCAGGTAAGTGCAAGAGATCGCCTTGCCGTGTTTGCCCGAGAGAGGTATTCACGAGGAACGAGATTCTCTTCGAGGATACTTCGCGAGCCCCAATACGATATTTAGACCGAATGACAGATGGACCGACGGAAAGAGTTGAGAAAAAACTGGTTCACGTTGTAAAAAACTTACACATGCAAAAATTACACACGTGTACTTCAGATAATTTATTGAAAAAAACAGCATTTGACGTAACAAGACAAAACAGAGAGCAGAGAGTGACACGTTGTAAAAGAAAAAAATGTCATTTCGCCGTAATTATCTTCGTAAAAATTGTTTGAAATCAAGTTTTTTTTTTTAATTGAGAAATCAATTATGAATTTTTTTTTTTACAATTGCGCGTGAAGGAAAAGATCGAAGAACAGTTTTCAATTGTTAATAACGTGATACTCCATATACGCAAACAAGTTTCTTCCATAATAAATTGAAACACGTAACATCGAAGAACCGAGTCACTCTTGACTCAACTTTTCGGATCGACTCGCTTGAGTCAACTTTTCGCCGTTTTCCCCGCGAAACTTTTTGGCACGAGTTGCGCGATATTGTACTGTGCACATACATAAATACCACAGTGACTGACAGTAACATAACCTTAACCAAGGAGGGAAAAAAGCTGGTGAGAGAGAGAGAGAGAGAGAGAGAGAGAGTGTACGAGTGGCCGGCACACTGAAAGGAGAATTTGACTCAAGCGAGTGATCTGAGTCAAACGGAGTTAAGTCAAGAGGGACACTCCCGCTGCGAAAGAATAATTAAAGTATCGGCCTGAGAGAGAGAGAGAGAAAGGGAGAGGATAGATAAAAAGAGAGGGAGGAAATGACAGGACCGAGAATGCGGATTAGTTCGTGATGAATGGATTAGCGAGCGGAGTTTTAACACGTGATATCATCGAGAGGAAAGCGATCTGCGCGTACAGCATATAGCCATGTGAGAATGCCGGATCTTGCCAGTAGACATGTGCGAAGGGGACACGTGATCAGCGTTCGGTGATAGCGATTTCTTCAATTCTCTGTGAAATATCGCAAATATCCGCAAACATCCAGAAAAAGAGCGAGAGAGAGAGAGAAGCGTTTACTCGTTTTAATTTGCTAAACACGGCCTCTGAGACACGAGTATTTTTACGAGCTACTTATTGCTAAATATATATTTGCTGTCTCTCGCTCGTGTGTGGAAGATTGTATTATTTTTTCTTAATGTCACCGTTTTTATAAGTTACGCATGCGTTTTACATATTTAATTATGAATTTAAACAAGAAAAATTAGCGTTTTTGAAATTCAGGTTTGCTGAACTGCGAGACGGTAACGAGAACGCGATAGAAAAAATTCGCGATAATTCGATTTTGTCGTTCATTTGATTTTCATGACGCGAACTTCGCACGCGACCGCTATAAAAATCACTTTCGAAAATAATTGTCGCCGGCATGTAACTATATATATATATATATATACGCGCGAGAGAAAAAAAGAAACGTTCGAACGTTTGCCAGTCACGAAATCAATCAACAATTCGTGACGTCGTGCGGATCCACACATCGGTATAACCGATGATATATTTTCATGACGTGTCGAATCGCTTCGTGGGCGTTCGAGTGTCTTGTATCTTTTTTTTTTTTTTTTTTTTTTTTATTACAACTAGAGCCACAAATTTATGCGGTGGAATTCGGTTGCCGAGAAGAGATCTATATCTTTCGACATCTATCATCTCGTTTTTGGAGAACAAAATATATATATATACGAGTCTGTGTAAATGTAAATAAGCAACAAATTTTAACGGCAAAGCTAATAATAAAAAATTTGTTCGAGTATAAATTAATTGATACAATGAAATACGTATAGAGATGCGAAAGAGAGATGATCGATGATTTGATGATTAATTCAATCAATCGGGAAGGAGGGGGCGATCAAAAGAATAGATTTATGTGCTATTCGTTTTCTCTCTCGTACACGAGGAGCTCGAGAGAGATGTGATTCCATGTTTCGGACAAAATTGTCTCTCAATTCACAATGTGCGTTTCAACGCGCGCGAGAATGGATGTGGGAGAATATTTGTGTACCGAGCGAGAGAAACAGATTCAATTCCGTGGTAGACTTGTACACACACGCACGCACGTGAGTTATAGGGACGCGTGCATACATACGCGCATACGCGCCTCGGTCCTTCCTCTCCAGCACGCACCTGTTACCTATGTCGTATTGTGGTGGCTGCACGCGACAGCTCTCGCGTGCCACTTACTTGCCAGTTACTTCTCGCCAGTACGAGCCTGTCAGTCACCGCGTGTAGCGTTGCTTATTTCTCTCGCGCGAAATCGAGACGCATTGTCGCGATATCGCGTCGTGCGAAATCGAGATGAGAAACGACTGATCGTTTTGTTCGTCGCGCCGGTTTGACAACCTCCACACGTCGGGTGTGTTCACGTAGAAATAGAGAGTTCATGTAGAATAGAATTCATCGAGGTGCGATTATATTATACATACGCGCGAGTAAAGAACGTACGATTAGATACGTGTGCGATTTCTCGAAGAGTGTTCAAATATCGTTGACTTCTCGTCTACGTAGACGCGAACATCTCGCCGCGGAAAAAGAACGCGCGAGAGAAAATGACATAGCATGGAATTGGTTGTGGTCGCGAATTCCTGCTCTCGTTCGAGCAGGAAGAATGCAACGTGGAATAAGCGAAAAGTAGAACTTGATATGATTGTGCGACGAATTTTTACGTGAAAAGATATCTCGAAACTTAATGAAATAACGAAAATCGAAGAATTCCGATTCTTTTTCTAACGGTAAGTGTGAGAACGTTAACGAGCGACTCCGCGCGTTCTTCGTGTATCTCTATTTATATCCGTCTTTATAATTTAAGACCGAGAATCACACATTTTGCTATTTTCTTTTATCCCGTTGAGAGTTGTTTATTCGTTCGAACACAAAAATACACGTAACCTATCCTATCAATTGCAGCGCTCGTCGGTATAACAAACAGGTTTGAAGACGTAATTTGGGAAAAAAATGTAGATCTGTAAAAACAAACCGCGAGAGATCTTTCGAGAATAAATTTTGTTGGAACGTTTTACTCTTCCTCGGAAGCCTCGGAATCGAACGCGGCCTGGGATCAAGGAGCACTTTACTCCAGTAAACCCGCGCGAGCGACTTAAGCGAGGTCGAAGCCTTTTTCTCTCTCCTTCGCTTTTCTCATCTTTCTCCCGTTTGGCTAAGAGAAACTTGCCGCTCTGTCATCTTATCTCTCTCTCTCTCTCTCCCTATCTTTTTCCCTCTCTCTCTCTCTCTCTCTCTCTCTCTCTCCTCCGAGAATCTTACAACTTACACGCAGTTTTCTCTTTCTGGCTCGATCGCACTTGCGCATCTCTTCCCGAGAGCGCTTTTGTGCGCGTCGAAAAAAGAACCTTCGACTGATCATCAGTCTTTTTGGTGAATGAGACTGTAAATGAGAAAGAGAAAATTAGGTTGCGTAATATATAATCGTTTTGGCAAACTATCAATCTCTCGACGAGGAGAATTTATAAGAGATTAGTTTTCTCTTGTTTTGCGCAATTATTTACAATTTTCTAATTTATGAAAATAGACACTCTGTGCTTTCACGAGCGCATTTGCGTTTTTACAAATTTCCGTAGTCGTCGTCACTTTCTCGATGCGATCGAATCTCGGTGTGACGCGCGTCGTCTCTCATCTTCGTCGTCATCCTCCCTTTGCTAACGTTGAATGAGCAACGGATAATAATAATCGGATGCCGCTTCAAAAATTAAGTCTTGTCTTCTTGCGACGAAGCGAATTACACGTTACGAGATTGAATTTTGCAAGAATTAATGACGTCGAAAGATAAATTGAAACTCTCCGTCATCTTGTGTGTGCGCGCACAAAGCGTCGCAGATATCTTAGAGCTGCTCCATCTTGCGTGTAAAGTTGAATACTTCAACATCTACATAATGCAAATGCGTCATGTAGATTCTAATTGGAAGTCAATTAGTTCTCGAAATTAATTGATTAACAAGAGGAACCAGAAAGTAAGAGAGAAAATATATCATAATTTTCAAGAGTCGAAACCTCTTTGATTAATTGAATAAAGATAATAAATTGAGAGAGAGAGAGAGAAAGAAAGAGAGAGAGAGAGATCGTAAGCACGTGTCACACTTAATACAAAATGCTGCGATAACAAATATTACTTCGATTATTCACAAATGTCTCGGAAAGCACGATTTCCTTGAGTGCGATTATCGTCGCGGGTGAATTTAATTCCTAACAAATGACCAAAAGAGCAACTTGCAATGAGATTGCGGTCGTTGCAAGTAGTAATTCGGCGAGAAGGCAGCGCGCGCACAGCCTGCAGGGCGGATATTTACTTTTATTGCTTCGATAAAATCGACTCAATCAAAATCCATTAAAGTAATCGTCATAATATTCATTTGCTTTCTACCGATCGTTTTATTATATATGCGGTCCAGACGGACGGAGCAGCAGAGGAAAGCAAAAAGAAAGGCAAGAGTGAGCGAAGGCAACCGCGTAAGGGAAACGAATTCGTGCGCTGAACTCGATTCGTCGATCATCGCGCGATGTAGTCTCATATGAGAAACGCGATTGAACGTTCATTAATCCCCGTGGTTTATAAATTAGAGAGATAACCAGGCAAAAAGTGTGCGAGATATTAAATAATATATATTTGGCTTGGCGCGTATAAAACTCAGCGATAAACGCCATTGCACGTACGTGATGTCGCGTGACGCGACATAAATTTACATAAATTTCTAAGTCACATCCATAGAAACTTTAATTTATGTGCTTGCTGAGACTGTTTTCAATCAAAATAGCAAATTTCAAGGTTTATTTTCTTTCAGAACTCAACGGTGTTGTCCGTTGATCGATTTAATACGGCAACTAGATTTCTCTCTCTCGAAGAAATTTCACAACTTGAATTGTTTTTCTTTTTTTTTTTTTTTTGACCGAATTTTTTGACAAAATAAAATCCGCAAACGTCAAGTAAGACAGATTTAATCGTGAAATTGCATCAACCTTGCTTTGGTGGAGGCGATAGTCGTCATCTATAATTAGTCGCTTGCCTTATCAGGTGAGTCGAAAAATTTACGACAAGTTGTTGGAAAATAAGTTGTGCGAATGTAAATTGAAATTGTGCATAATTGCGTGCGAATTTTTCGCCATGGGACATTACCCGGCGAAATTTCGAAAACTTGCGTTTCCTACGTAAACTCTACGCAGCGCGTGCGCATTTCTAAGATTTTTCCGCCGTGAGCAACGCGACGGCGTGGTGACGTACTTTACAATGAGTTTTATTTCCACCACACTCGATTTCTCTTTTTTTTCTGTCTCTCTCTCTCTCTCTCTCTTTCTCTTTCTCGCCAATGTTATGATTCATCTTCGGATTTTATCGCAAGAGAATCTTTGCAAATGAGAGTATCTCCTAACGAGAGAAGTGTGTTTCTTATTTGCGGTTGATGACGCGTCGAGCAACATTCTTTTCGACTTGATACACGTGTGTGTGTGTGTGTGCAAACATTTTATTGCGACATTTTAGTGCATTTAGAAAAAAAATTGTAAGGTTACTTTTATCTTATTTTGTTAAAATCTATTCAATACAGAAAAGTTTGAAATTAGAGTGAAAACGTGACGTTCCAACGGGATTTTATTACCATACGATCCTGCACTTGTGTCTTATTTAAGGGCATCTTAAAGTGGATCTGTTTTATTGATAAAACTGAATTTTTGGCGCATGTTAATATCTTTTATTTAGCTGTATGGATCGGCAAATCCTTTTCTACGATTAACGCACATACAATAAGGAATCCGGGAAGTCCAAATGTATATAACAAAATAAAAAAAATTGAAATTTCGAAAACTTCTTTTTTCATTTTATTACATAAGTTTGGACCTCTTATTGTATGTACTTAAATTGTAGAAAAGGATTTGTCGATCCATACAGCCAAAAAAGATTAATGCGCACAAAAATTTAGTTTTATCGATAGAACAGATCGACTTTAGGATCCCCTTAAGTATTCTCTTACAGTATTTTTTAAGTCACTAAAACGTTCGGGCAGCAAGTAGACTCGTCACCGGTCAACAAGGTGTTAAATCAAACTGTTATGTAACTGCGTTTTGCAATTATTATTCCTACGTTGAGACGTCGATCGATGGTCGCATAACGATATCAATAATTCTAGAGAGCGCGCGTAAACGCCACGCCGCCGCCGCTGGTCGTCGCGCCGCCGCGTCGTAATTGCGGAAAATCCGAAACACATGTCTTTATCAAGCGCGTGGCGCGAGAAACGCTCGTGTTCTAATCACGAGAAGAGATCGTAAACGTCCGTCCAATAAATAAAGATCGGCGGCGCGAGCTTGATGTTGTACTAGCTTACACAACGATTGCCAAACGAGCGTTTTGACTGCGTTACGTTCGTTGTCGAATTGCCACATCGAAGCGTTTGACACGAAATGGTAATTCATTATTTACAAGTTTCTCGTTAATGACGAGCGTGCCTTTACATGGCGTGTCTGTCTAGCCGTTGCGGAAACACGTAACCTACGTTATTAAACACGAAGCAATTTGTGCGGTTCCCCGTTTAATTAACTTACTGCGACACGTGTATTTGCATTGTACGTATCGCATACCGTTGGGGAAAAAAAAAAAATAAATCGGTTGTTGGTTTGATTTCTATGTCTAATATGTTCACAATGGCGCGTATACTTGGCACCTCTTTCTTTTTTATAAATATACAGCAACAAATACGATGAGAAAGCGACTTACCTTCCACTATCGACAAATAACAACATTGTTGATGCTGCCAGCCAAGCGGGCGCCTTTGTAAATTCCTACAGTGCTAATACGATCTATTTTAGCATATAGTAGCGCTGCAACCAGCTGAACAACTTCCCCTTTGGAACGCCGCTTGTTAAGAGTTTATTCGCCGGCGACGTCGAGATTCTATCGGAACGCTTAGTCGGCGAATTAGCGATGCGCTCTGGGAAAAAAAACGTATTCGAAGCAGCTGGGGTCCGGAGTTCTCTCGCGTCATGACGAAATCCTAATTAAACTCCGGAGCAAAATGAAAAAAATAAATCCCACGGGGAGAAAGAGGGGCGATAATGAAGTGACAGTGGCAACTATATTCGTAGTATTTAACTATTAATAGTTAAATAATGAATAAATTTACAATTTAATTTTTTCTTAACAAAAATATGCGCATGTTTAGGACAGCAAAGAACTGATGGAAGAAACTTCCCAGCGCATGAAATTTTACGAATTGAAATTTCACAAGTTAAAACGAACGATATTCGTCGGAAATAAAATTTGCTCGTTGACCAATTATAATATTACATAAAATATTAATTAAACTTCTTAAAAATAGTTTTTGAGCTAGAATCACGTTAGTATCATCTTTATATATTTTATGGACAGTAGTAGTTCTCGAAGTTAGCTAGAGAACTTGGATCTAACCAGGATCTGACGAGAGAAGACCGGTTGGCGATCCAGTCGGAGCTTTCCGAGTAGCGCCTCGAAAGCGCTCCGGGAAAATCTGGAGTCCGAAGAGAAGCTCCGCCTTGTATATTTCCGATCGGAACGCGAACGATTCGTGCTCGCGCGACGCGTGCGGAAATATTCGCCTGTCTTATCGCGAACTCGCCCGAGGGAATGTCGAATTGTTATCTCGCAAACTCGCTCGCGCGGAGATATTTGTGCGGTGTGACAAAACGCAGTTTTTTTTTTTTTTACTACAAACATCTACGACTACGTCGTGCGAAAGAGCAAGAGACGAGTATTTCCTTTCGCGCGTCTTTCAACACAAACACGCGTGTCGTCGTGTGAAACGTTGTTTGTTCGCGCCAGCGCTCGTGCAAACAATTCGCGTGATTACAAACGATCGCGAGTTAGCGCGTCATTACGCACGTCATTATACACAGCGGAAACAGATCTTCTCTCGTATCAGCCGGCTTCATAGAAGCAAGACTTTCTCTATGTGTAGTATACATATATATATGTTTTATATATAATACAAACAGTAGGACTTTTTTTAGTCCTTCGGTCTTTTCTATGTGCGTACACGCACACATGGTAATAAATCTATCGCGTCACCGTATCGCCATAAAGACATATCGATAACGTGGGTGTAAACGACGCTCACACGGTGCATACAAAACGCACAATCGTGCAGATATCGACTGCGATTGAGGACAAACGCCTCGAGCGATTAGCGGTGGCGGGAATCGCTAACGCGAAACGTTCGCTGCCACTAGAATTCCCATTAATCAAGCGCGGCAACGAGGCACTCGTTAGCGCTCCACTAGATGTATTAGAAGATTATACTCTTAACGTGTTGTGAATAATGAATTGGGCGCCGGCGTTCTCGATAAACTGGGAATAACGCTCGCGACACATGTGTGTGTGTGTGTTTTTCTTTGTTGAGTTGCGACGACGTGACTCGCACTTTTCTCGATATTTTATCGCGAATTGCGGTTGTATTATATGAAAAACACGTGAGCCGGCGCGGTCGACGCAAAAGGTTAAATGTATGCGGACGCGACGAATATTTTAATTCACATCCGGAAGAAGAAAATCACGGAAGCATATAAGGCTGTTGCATTAATGTTAATAACGCAACAAAACCGCCTCAAATTTAATATATAATTTTTAAGTTTCTATTGCGACTTTATATAAAATAAAATACACTTTTTGACGCGCATAGAATGTAATTATCTCTTTGCTGCATATTATTACAACAAATAGAACATCTGTCTTACGTAGTTTTGTCTGATGTCTTTTTCAGCAAAAAAAAACCCGATCCCTGCGAAAATTTCGAGAGATCCAAAATGGAGCTGCAACGATTTTCTTTGACATCGCTGACTTTGACTTTGGCTCTGATCTTCCTCTTGACCGCGTGTTGTTGTTGCGAGGCCGCCACGGAAAGTGGCATAATAAAAGGTGAGCGATGTATGTTATTTTCATTGACTGACGAGAGCCCAAAGGGATGCCAATATCAATTGATGTGACTCGACGACCGGAATATTTATGTAATTTTATCGATATGCAACGTACAATTGAGGAGAATTAAATGTAAATCTCGTGGAATAAGGAAGAGGAAAACATCGTGGATGATTGCTAATTAAAAGTGCGCAAGACATTATATCCTTGCTTCGCGCATATATACATGCTCGCGTTTCGTGACGGCAGTTCTCACGCGAACAGACGCGGCAAGAATGGCGCGCGAACATACATACATACCTACATTGCGCGCCGCGATCAAATTTCTGATTCCAGCTGCTTTGCTATCTCTCGCGGTGCGCTCGCGCGAGCCCGTTACGCTCCATTTGCGTCTTTTATATAAACGCTCTATTCTTAGTCTATATCTCCATTATCTGACGTTCTATTTGCTCCTAAGGCGAGTCGGATCTCGCGCGCAAGAGTCATCGCGCGCGAACGGAGAACAGGTCGCTGTCTCGCATCGCGTCTCGACAAGAAGAGACGTTTTGTTCGCCCCGCGAGCTTCTGCGATAGGATAGGTTAACGCGACGTCTACTAACAGGTACACAGAAGCGTTTCTCTCGAAACACGATCTACTCTAAAGAATTTTCCGAGAATCCGAGAGGCGGGGATTCCCTTTCGTTTGGGAACGCGTCGATGAGGAACCCGCGAGATTTTGCATCATTCGTTAATTTTTTAAGTATTTAATTTAAAAAAAGTACATTAATTAATTTCAGCACTTTATTTATTTGTAAAACAACTATAGTTATATTTTTATTATTACTTTCTGTTAAAATATTCTTTCTCTTGGAGTTTGTTTTTTCATATCATATGACTGTAAACTTGTGTTTGAGTGTGTTGCCACACAAGAGTGTAGGCTTTAATACAACAAGATCTTTTTAGCCTCTTGTTAAAAACCAAGTTGACACGTCGCGCACCAGATCGGGTTTCTCTGCTATCGCGCGTAGCACTGAGAGCTAATCAGTCAAGAAAAGCGTGACATCGTCTCGGTGGAGACGTATAGTTTAAAAAAAAAAAAAAAAAAAAAAACTGTAATAAGATACGAATTACAAAGAAGAAACGGTTAGTTTCCTTGACAATGTTTTCTCCGTGGAAATTATTATTTCGCGGAAAAAAAATTCTGAAATACGATCTCAATATAAACGCTAGTAAAGTCGCGAGTTTTTCCGCAAGTTGTCACGACGAATGTGTTTGTTACGCGCACAAAATTGTGACATCCGCAACGAACTACCAACGCGAGAACGCACTGCCGGTTATTATTACGCACGTAGTCTCTCTTTTAAACTGCTCTCCGAGTTTTTAACTCCGTGCAACTAGCTCGAGAAGAATGGCAAGAAACAAAAAAAAACAAAAACCATATTACAGAGAAAAGAACGTGTAAAAGAAGAATCATAGGAAGAGAAGCGAAGGAAGATTAAACGTGACGTAGATAAAACTGGATATACAAAATGAATTATTGAAATTTATACGTACAGCAATAATAATCACGAGTGTTTCATGACTCATTACCGTCCGTTTTGCCGGTTCTGATTATTTCTTTTTTCTATTTTGTTTGTTTGTTTGTTTTTTTTTTCACTAAAACTTCATCGGTGAAATAGACAAAACACATGTAAAGACGACGGAAAATGTAAGAATAAATAAATAAATATACAGAAAAAAAGAAAAGTGTGAACTCTTTGAGGGAAAGAGATTATAGTCGCAACCGACACCGCCGTTCACATCCTTCTCGCACACGCATTCCTGCGCACTTGGAAACAATCAGTGTCAACGTCGTTCGAACAAGTTAGCCGAGTTAGCGAACGTTTATAACAGTAAGTTTAGAGAGCGAAACCCGCCTCGAAATGCTGCACGTTGCGTTAAATCTCTGAGAGCAGTGACGGAGAATAAGACGAGAAACACGCTTTAAGTGTTTCGCGGGAAGGAACCAATTTTTTCGTCGTCCTTTTAGGAGAACGAGAGGAGGAAAGCGAGGAAAAAAAGACTTGTATTCCTTTATTTTCGACTTTGTGAAATATAACGCGCGTGTTCTCTTTCTTACGACGACAATTGAAACCAGAGAGTTTACACTCGGTGCTCGCAAGTTTAACGATCTACGTAAATTATCGTTTCGAGTAATGTAAATAATGTGAAACAAAAAAAAAAAAAGATTTTGAAGGTTTACAACAAACAATTGCTCTTAAAGTGTGCAGGAATACGTGTGCGAGGGAACCGGGAGGGATGTTGGCGGTGGCGACTTCGTCGAGATCTAGCAGCGGAACGCGACATGATTTACGCTGGGAAATGGACAATTTAACGACTGTGCGGTACACGTCCTGGAGGTACGTTTACGACGTTCATATCGCGCTTAAAGAATGCCACGTTGTTGATTGTAGCGTCTCTATCGGACTCGCTCGATAATTGTTTACATATTGTGACGCGTTATTAAAAAAAAATAATAATAAAAAAAATAATAAAAAAAAAAAAATAAAAAAGAATAAAAAAAAAAAACACGATATCGATTCGCGCGAACGAGAGCGCACAGCGCTCTCTGACCGCGCGTTTGTTCATTTTTCTTCTCATTGCGATTGATTGTCGCTCTTCGAATTACAGGAAGTCGGGAAACCTGCGACGCCGAAGGCGAGGACGTCACTCTGGACAAGCTCGTCAACACGACCTGCTACCGCTGTCTTTGTAAGGTAAATAAATTGCTGAACGATCGAATGGGGTTTGTTGGTCGAGGAGAAAAAAATCAAAGAGAGGTCGGGGTAGAAAGAACGAGAAAAGAGTGACACATGATCGGTCTCTCACATGTGTAGTCCAGTTCGCAGATTACGCGTTATCATGCGACGAGGCAACGCCGTTCGGTAACGGATCGGTTGAAGGGGTTAAAGTAGCTTGGCCTGGTTCGGAAGGTCAAAAGAGAAGGAATTTCCACTTCGATCCCCCGTATTTCACGCTCGTGTATTGGCTAGTGTGTACAATAGCACACGCGGACACCACGCGATCGCACGTCCCGCGCGCGCGCGCGCGCGTGTGTGCGTGCACTGTGTATTTTATAACGCGCGCCGCCATAATAGCCTCGATACATCTCTTCTCTCGGACGTACCGACTCGCATCGCGAGTGATCTTAGAGCGACCGCGGCGATTTATCTGCGCGTTTGGTTCATTGACTCGTCGACTCTTGTGGCCAACCAGAAGATGAGGCTTCTTGTTTTCGCTCAGCTGTTACCGTTGATGCCGCCGTTGCTGCTGCTACAGCCGCAACGAACAACAAGCGTGTCAGCGGCGGCATGTGACATAATTATTTGTTTGTTGCACCAAACTGATCGACCCCGATCAATTATCTGCAATTTACAAGGAGCGAACGAACAGCCGTTCAACACGATTTGTAATAAGCGATTACTTCATTGCTTGTTGATTTTTTTTTTTTTTTCAAATATTTTCTACGGCATATATTTAGTTTTACCTACCTTGTGTAATTTTTCGTTTCAAATAGAAAAATTATAAATATCTCAAGTTTGTCATCCTTTCTCTATTTTGGTGCATTTTTGTCCGCGCTATCTGTTGTTTTTTTACATTAACAACGGAACGAATTTTGCTTTTTGGACACATTGCGTAACTGAAAACTGACTCGTCTCGCGCGTCTCGCGACCGTTCGACCTGTGTGTACGTTAATTAAATTAGTTGACGTAATTTTAACACAAATTCGTGAGTACATAAAAGCTCGATAATGCGCGTAAAATCGGAGAAAATGCGGGTAACGTATACGGAATAACACGGAATTGAATGACAAGACGAGCGACAAAATGTCAAGCCGGAATACCTCGACACGAGATATTTGCGGCGTGACTCAAATCGCCGCGGCCAAATTTCCGATTCATATAATGCCGTTTTATTTAGAATGTCCACACATTTCTATCCCAGCTGTTCGCGCCCGGCGATAATTCTCGTGCGCCGAAACTGTCTACAATTTCGAACGCCGCTGAAGCGAAGTAATCGCGAAAATGTGAAAACTTTTTCTTTACTTTTTTTTATTTTTTTATTTTTTTATTTTTTTTATTAAAGTGAACGTCTCCTATATCGTGCGCGCTGACGCACACGCACATTTTTTACGCGATACCGGCTTAGAGAACGTATCTTTTGAAAGTAGCTGCTTACAAATATGCGAAAGAAAGCGGACGAAGAGAAGAAGAGTCCGCGGCTTTCGAAATAATCTCTCTGCGCTCTCTGTGTTGTAAAGGCAAGATAGGTAAGTAAATTTCCTATCGTTAATTTTTTTTCAGAACGGATTCGTGGAATGTCTGAGGCAAGTGGAATGTCCAAGCACCGAAGGTTGCTACGCGATGATGGAACCGCGCGGCAAGGAGTGTTGTCAGAGATGTACAGGTACGCAACAGATTTTTTCCGTACGTTCGCGCTAATTTGGTTAATTATCCTGATCGTCCTAATTGGATTTAAAACCGACCTCGCGCTGTGAAAGAATGAAGAAGAGAAACGCGTAATGCGAATATGTGAGCGACGCAAGAAGGAAAAGCGAGTGCGCACACACACATAGACTTGGGGAATGTTCGGCCGACAAGAGCATTGTTCGCCGAGGCACAAAGGCACTTCTGTTCGCCGCCAATAGTCGGCGATAAACCCGGGAGAACTTGAGCGTCACGAGCGCGTCTGTCTCTGTTTACGACACATAGTTGACAGATGCTCGCGCGCAACCTCCGTTATCGTCCCCTATTAATTATGTTAATGATGACGTAAGATTGCTTGTGTAGCGCTCGCCCCGACGGCAAAATCTAATCTCCGGAGATGTCTAAACACATTTCAGACACAGTTTAGAATTGTCTTGTACATTTTGAATCTTCTTTTAACACGCGTAATATATTCATTAGCTACGTATTATTTCTCCTTACGCTATTTGTCGACGCGCGCTGTTCTGACGATTTCGACAAAACCTGATTCTCTGAATCGGTTATACAGGATGCGTGCGAAACGGCGTTTATCATCCATCGGACACAGAATGGACGGAAGGAAATGAGCCGTGCCGAATATTTGCTTGCAAAGCGGGCGTCATCACTGAATCAAAGCTGCTATGTTACACGCCCTGCTCGAAGCCGAAACCGGCCCAACCCGGCCAATGCTGTCCCGTATGCGAAGGTGCGTAACACACATCCTTCCACCTTTTCTCCCGACGTTGCTGCCCGACTGCCGCCGCTAATTACCCACACCAATCTCTCACAAATATTTCTCACGATCCCCTGAACGCATCTTGCCGCGCAATTAAGCCTGGAATGTTCCCTCGATATAACGAGAGAGAGAGAGAGAGAGAGAGAGAGAGGGGAACGATAATGATTGAAAATTACACCGCGCAACGCGCTTCTATATTCCAACGAAAACCGAATGAACAATAAAACGTACGCACACATATACGTTACAATGTTTCTTTCGATTATAAACCTGTAATTCCATAAATTTAACGTTTTTAACCTGTTGCGGGGGGGGGGGGAAACTTGCGTTTTTACAAGCTTACGTAACTGTGACGTTTTGTTTCGTATAAATAAACGTTCGATATTCGTCACACCACATTTTTCGATGTCACGCGTATTATAACTCGACGTAATCGATACGTGATGCAAAACTTAAATATATAATCGGAAACCGTAGATGATGGAAAGAAAAAACGCAAAAACCTCTTTTGGATTATCATTTTTCCCATTCATCCTTTCTCTAATACCATCAATTTCATTACATTTTTTTCACAGGATGCCTTTTGAACGGACAGAGAGTCACCGCGGACAGATCGGTGACAACAACCGAAGATCCTTGTGTAACGTGCAGGTGCAATAAAGGATACCTCAGCTGCGCAAAACAAGCCTGTCCGACGCTCAATTGTCCTTCGTCGAAGATTGTTCACGATCCTGGGGAGTGCTGTCCGCGCTGTCGAGGTGAAAGGAGTTATATAATTTTTATTATTCGAAATGAGAGAGAATCTCGCGTTGCGCATCGGCCGCGCAATTCGAAATTATTTCGATTTATTAGCTGAATTTTTTCGGCTCGAAAAGGAGACTAACTATTCTCTTTATTGTTGTTCTCTCGACGTGAAGTACGCGATGTGAGTTTTTTTCTTGTTTGTTTGAGAGCAACTGTGGTGCCGCTCGATGATGCGCAATATCGTATAAAAGATTCAAACACACAAAATTGCTTTGTTGCGCAAGCGACTCGAGTGCCGAGAAATTAATAGCGATCGGAGTTTTGCTTTGCAAGAGCATTGAAAAAAATATATATACTTTCTGGAACGAATAGACAAACAATTAAGGTTACTTTGAATTTATAGGTCATTCCAATCTCTTTCTTTCTTTCTCCCCCTCCCTCCCTCCCTCCCTCTCTCTCTCTCTCTCTCTCTCTCTCTCTCTCTCTCTCTCTCTTAATACCAGAGACGCGAACCGGTTTTATGCGAATCTGATTATTTTCCAATGTCGCAATTGCGCAAAAACCAGTCGCGTGTAGTATTACGATTGTCATGTAATCATCCGAGAATAAGATACGCGCGCTGCCATCTAACAATAGACAAATATCAAGTTTTAAATTCCGGGCGAAACACTCGATACAAAATATGAAACGCATCGTTTCGATAACTCTATCCAGTCTATAAATAACGGCGCGTTTTGCGGTTACTTTTGCGTAGTTAAGGGCAGTAAATATGTTAAATTTTAAGCACTCGCTTTTACTCGCGGTACACAGGTACTGGAAGATTTTTCAAACCTCCTGGCGGTTCTTGCTTGCTCGGCAAAGAGGTGTTCCAGCCGGGAAAGCAAATTGTTCTCGACGATCACTGCACGCTTTGCACCTGCAACAATTCGTCGTTGTCGTGCATCAGGGAGACCTGTCCGGTGCTGGAATGTCCCAGTAACTTTCAGATACGTCCGGCTAATCGCTGCTGTCCCCAATGCCCGGACGTTGAGGAGAGCAGAGCTTCTTGCACCCTCAACGGACGAACTTACGAGGCGAGTATCACATTGTTGTCGTCGACCTTGTCGCAAAGATCAAAGGATGTTGTGTGTGAACAGAGCATGTAGAGTTCTGTCTAATTAACAGTAATATCATCTCGAACGAGAAATAAATCTTTTTGGAATTTTGATAATTGTGAGACGACCTGTGTTTTGTTTTGGTTTAAATGTCCCGTTTTGTCCTAGGCAGGATGGCGAAAATTGGAAGCTTGACGCTTGTAGGGCATGCACTTGCAAACAGGGCATATCGCGTTGCGTAATGTCTATGTGTCCGCAGTTGAATCCTTGTCCGCCGAATGCAAGACTGGAACATCCGCCGGGTCAGTGTTGCCCGCAATGTGTCGAGAGTAAGTACATGTCGCGCTGCTATATTTTATGATTGACGATCATATTTGTTTGGTATTTCAATCATTAAACCGGGCTAAAATGTTATTTTTAAAAAATCGAAAAGAACGGAGAGAGATTTGTTTTTATTTTTTTTTTACAGGTGACGGAGTTTGCACAGTTTTCGGTGATCCTCATTATCGCACTTTTGACGGTAAAGTCTACAGTTTCAAGGGCGCGTGCAAGTATCAATTAGCCAGTGATTGTTTCGGTCACACGTTCAGCATACGCGTGACTAATGACGCCAGAAGAACCATGATATCATCGTGGACCAAAACCATTGCTATAAAGGTGGGACACGCGTTAAATTGGTATAAATATTGGTTTTTTTGTTTTGTAGATAATCTACGTTTATGTAAAACAGTATTTCGATTATATTTCAGATCGGTGACTTGAAAGTAAATCTTGGTCAGAAAATGAGGGTGAAAGTGAACGGGAAGAAAGTGGATGTTCCTTATCGCGTCGCAAATCGAGTGGATATCAACCGTACAGTTGATAGCGTGATTGTCAACACGCAGATTGGGGTCAAAGTCCTCTGGGATGGCATTAGTTTCGTCGAGGTATCCGTGCCCGCGTTGTACAGAGGTCGAATGTGCGGTCTATGCGGTAATTTCAATTCCTTCACCAAAGATGACTTCACTACACGACGCAACCGAGTAGTGCAAGATGCGCAGCAGTTCGGCCAATCTTGGGCCGTGGGCTCCAAGAAAATGTGCACCCGAATTTCGAGGCCCGGAAACATGGACAACGAGAAACGTTGCCGAGGAAAGAATCAACGGTAAGTTGGAGTTCTCTGTTTTTTTTTCCAACTAATGTTTTATTGGTACTTGTCTTTTTTTAAATCTTTTTATCTTTTTACATTTGGCTGGCAGTTTGATTATTTTCTTTTCACAGTTTTGTTTGTGCATTTTTGTCGTTCTTTACGTCACTGTGAAAGTTTTGTTCATGTGTCAGAGTAATAGTTTTTTTGAACACCATGCTATTTCACTTTTTACAGATTGTGCAATCGGCTGAGATCGCAGATCTTCGATGCTTGCCATAAGAAGGTAAATCCCGCTATGTATTTTAAAGCTTGCATTCATGACATGTGCGAATGTCCGACCGAGCACTGTTACTGTGAGTCTTTTATGGCGTACGCACACGAATGCAAGCGTCTCGGTATTCAGCTACCGCACTGGCGAAAAGCCTCAAAATGTCGAACCGTTTGGGATCAGACGATAAATCCCGCTCGCCGTCTACATTAATCGCGCGCTTCGTCTGCCACTGCGTTCGGCCTCTCAATGCTGAAAGAAAGTGCGAGGCGAATACGTCTACATTGAATTCCGTACATATATATATGTATTCTCTGTACGCATTTGGAAAGATTCTGTGTAATTCTTTCCCTCTTTTTCCCGTTTCGAGATACGTTTTAGTATCTGCGAATAATATAAAAAAAAAGAGGAGGCACAAATATATTGCGAGATAAACATTCGAGTCAGTTTGACTTTGTGATACGTGATCGATTTAAAAAAAAAAAAATAAAAAGTAAAAAACCCGAACACGGAAAAGTCTTTTCTGAGTAGGGGTGTGTGCGTGCGCGTGTTTGTGTGTAACGTCTGATAATTTCGTGTCGCGCAGACAAAATGCAGCGCAGGAAATTTATTATTTTTTACATTTAGCGCTAAATTAACGTAACGCAATTCAATTCTTCTAGTAGTTGTAAGCTTGTGTGTACGATGTGAGTTTTAGATTTTTAGATTCTATATATCGGGAGAAAAAATGATATATATGTTTGCTCTCTCTTTCTTCCTCTTTCTCCCCCTCTCTTTCTCTTTCTTTCTCTAATTTTCATCCGTGTGTTTTGTCATAATTTTTCAAAGAGAACGTTTTGAGAGAGTTTTTATTGAACAATATTAACAAAACTACACGACAGACTCATGAAGTGTATCGTAACTTGATGTAATTCGCAGCAAAGAAAAGTTTACTCTGAATAATTATGAATGTTATCTGAACGAACAATTGTACATACTTCACTGATTCGTATATATGTGTCTTGATAAGTTAATATAAACGCATCTCCGAGAGTAGAGTCCTATTGCAACGAGTATACACACCGACAAAAAGAGATCAGTATGCTTGAAATTGTCGTGAGAACGACACCGTTAGTGGCAATGTTTTGGAGCACCGTGCAGTATTTCGGCCGATGAGCAGGCTCGCGGCATAGCTTGTGCTCTCGTCAACACTGCCTCGTTGACACCAGATATTACCCCAGATAGAAGCCCCGCGCTGGGGGCCAGTCGACGAATCAGCGTTGCCGAGTGTACGTACATATCAGTTTAACAGAATCGAACTACGTGTCGATTAATTGCAACACTGTACAACATATAATTTTTGCTCATTGGTAAAGAAAGGTGATTTTTTTTTATTTGTAGATTTTAATGTGCTAGAATTCGAATCCAATCTCAGAAATCACCTTCCTTCATTAAGAAGCGAGACAAAAATGTTAAATTTCTTGTACTTGTGTTATCACCAATGTATACACAAATAAATTTGTACATCTGTACAGATCGCAAATTTTTGAATCCATAGATCGATTGTGCAACTTTGTTCGGAGTCGATTTCACTCGAGAGCGATTGCGACTTTCATCGATTTTCTTTTTTTTCTTTTTTCTTTTTTTTCAAAGGAAAAGAAAAACGCGATACAAATCGATATTATTCTAATTAGAATTGAATATTCCAAAAAGGTACGTAATAGCTACTCTGTTGTATTCTCTTTCTAGATTCGTCACTTCACATTATTCTTATCTCTGGATGATAAATTCTCTTTTTCTCTCTTTCTTTCGCTCGTTGAATTACAAATTTATCGCCAGCTCCGGTGCTGCGCGGCCTTCTCTTCTCCACGTCATTCTCTCTTATCTTTGGATTCATAGATTCGCGATTTGTGAGACCCACAATTTCGTCATAGAAAATGGATGGGGGGAGGGAGTGATTTTCCTCTTTGCCTTCTTGACGACACAACAATACAACTTTTTATATTCTATATATTTACTTAGTGTATATATATATATATATATAAGTAGATGTGAATAAGTAGATGTTTAACTTTGTAGCGAAATATCACAACTTGTACATAGAAATTAACGAACGATTTATACGAACACTACGATAATGATTTCTAAGTAACGTGCGATTTTTAAATAACAGCTCTGCATTTATTATCTCTTTCACACTCCGGCTTTTGGTCCGATTCTCTCTTTCTTCCTTGTCTTCTCTTCTATCTGTTTTATTTTTACCTGTATTAGAGATTGTGAAGATTTTGCGAATAGATTTTTCACATTATATACAATTATTTTTATAAAAACTGATATAATAAGGCAGTAACCTTTTTTTTTTTTAACTTAGAAAACCTCTGTATTGTATATAGTTAAAATTGAGCTGTAATTAACTGTCACACCGAATGAATTTTGACAAAGAATTCAACTTTGTATACTGGTAATCCAAAGCGTTAGTCAAATTTTGTCGACTCTAACATTACAACACTTTAGCGTAGACTGTAGAAATACAAGTACAAGCTTAATAATAAATCGATTATATTCATAAATATATTGCGTTTGTAAAATCTCTCTTCCCTTTTACACAATCGTTTATGTCACATAAAAAAATTTACGTGCGCAAAATCGTCAAAAGTAATTTGTTTCTTTGAAAAACCTAAAATATTTACTTCGTAACAAGATCTGATAACTCAAATTGATTCACGCCGCTATCTCACCCATCTACATAAATTTGACGCAAAAACTCTCTTGGAGAAAATTTGCGAGAATTTATCTGAAAATAAAGTACCGCCACGACGAAAATAAATTTTTTTTCAAAATGTATTTTGTTCGACTACTACGTAACTGTCGAAATTTGCAATCCAACTTACTATTATGACGCACTTTTTTCACAAATATTATGTTGTTGACGATTACGATATTTTATATTATCAAGGAGCTTTTTTACATCAGTGCCTTTGACAGACTAAAGAGCATTACAAGTGTGTCACGATTATAACTGACTGTCTACCAGAGAGATACACATAGAAAAGGAAGGAAAGCAATAACCTTTCCTTCTCGACTTTATTTTTTTACTTTTTTTTTTTTTAGTATAAAAATATAGATTTCGGGCGCGGCTCCCTGCGAGGATGTTGAAAAGTTCGCACTTCAACAAAATAAGAAATCCAAATAACTACCGAGTTAAAAAACTGATATCGAGGTCTCTTAACTGTGGTTGTGAAATGGTATATTTCATTTTAACATAGATGCAGAGGCTTTTTATTACATTATTTGAAATTGCTATAATATTGTATGTGAGTATGCGAAAAATGGTATAATCTTAAATACGTCTGTCGTAGAAAACAAACACTAGAGAACACAAGATATGCTGAGAATTGGGGGTGCCGTAACTACTACATCAGAAGAGAGAAAGACTTATATAATATAATTCTATATAATATAATAATATATATATATATATATAAATTATATATATATAATTAGTAACGTATACAATACTCTATGAAACAACAACAAAATTTCTAGTTTCCAAATGCCGAACTCGTAAGTTATAAATTACTCAGTATTTACGTCGCACAAAAGTGAAAAGATAATTTTGCGACGAGAGAAGTTTTGTCCCCAATCGGAGAGAATAAAATTGAATTGCTCGTTGAAAATAGGGGCGGAAGAGCTAAAAGTAAAATTTTCACCGTCAAATCACATTCTCTTTCGGTGATGATTTCAATTTTTCAAAGAAATGCAAACTTGTATGCTTTAGCGTGGCATGCTATACAATAGTTTTTTTTTTCTTTTTTGAGAAACTCGTAATACATAAAATTGTATCTATTTTTCTAATAAATCTTGCACAACACAGTACGAACGAATTTTTCACCCCAACGGGATTTGCATTCGAAAATAAATTTCATCGAATAACAATAATTATGCAGAAGATCGAATCCTACCGCAATAAAATTGACATTTATCTAGTCGATAATAATAACAACACTAAAACTTCATTGCTTACGTAAGAAGACAGATACGAGATAAGGAAAAGTATATTCGATCTGGTTCTCGAATCTTGATTTTTATAATACACATATATGTAATACAACTCGACGAGCGATCGCGACTTTCTCTGTTTCCGACTCTTATACCGTTTATATAAAGTAAACAACATAAATAACGTAACCAAGCGAATATTTAAACTTACAGCACAAAATGACGGATGTCCTTCGTGAGTCTTTTAAAAGAAAGCTCTTTGTTGGCCTGTTTTTACGATCCGTGCAACAGTACTACATCGATTGTAAATGCGACAATTTCAAAAGCTCGTCGCCTTCGTCGAGTTGTCACTATATGTCAGATGTAAAAAATCCAAGGAAAAGCTCACACGTCGAGCCCGTCAACTATATCTCTACCATAATCACGCTTATTAATCAGTAATTAATTATTAGCCATGCTACCAATCGCAAATGAGCACATGTGTGTCACGACCGTCGAAAAAATAGGACTGAGGGGAAGAGGAGGTAAATATCGTTTTTTTTCTATATCGCTTGTACTAGTTTTTTTTTTGTTTTTTTACCTAAACCCTCTCCGATAATCATGACCTCTTCGACGAGACGAATTAGGAAGACTCGACGAGAGAAAGCGTAATTAGTTTTATTAATTATACAAAGATGCGTGAGGAAAGCGCTAAGTGGATCAGAACACTGTGTTTGATCCTTTCGATTGTCATTGAGATCCCTGTCTGAAATCAGCCGTTTGCTCGTCGTCAAATATTTATATAATCACACGAAAAATTGTTTTTTTTTTTTTTTTTTTTTATATATAATATAAATACACAAAATCTTGTAAGATCTCTGTTTTCTCAAACATACGATAAAAAAGGTCGCATAATCACAGAGAGTTCGACTTGTACATACGTTCTCGTGTATCTGAACCGGCAATAGAATCTTATCTCGCGCGCAACAAGTATGTATTATCAGCAACGGCAAAGAATGCGTAAAACTTTGTGCGCGCATCGCTATTTTCATATATTGTCACTTGTATTACCTCCGCGCAAATGCGTGAACTATCCAGAGAGCATCGAGAACTGAGAGACAAAGAAAAGATGTCTTTTATTGTTTTGTTTGCATAATGCAAAAAGATGTCCAAGAGATGTACCGAACAAAAAGTGTTCATTTTTCAGTCATCTTTCAAACATCTGTGTCTGCTGTCTGGATAGTACGTTAGTAGATGATACTCTCTGTTTATCATCAACATCAGGCCACGATCGACTCAGCGCATTCTCGACTCGCATCAAAATCTCTTGTCATTACTGATATAATAGTATTTGAATTTATTCGAGTGTACGACTCATTGTCAGCACGATTTCCGTAGTCGTCGTCGTACTTCGCGGCTCCGTCGTAAAAGAACGACGGAGGTAAAAAGTAGATAAAATACTTGAAACTCACGGGAGATTCTACCAACAAATAAAAAAAAAAAAAAAAAAACGGAGAAAAGATGTCGTGTGTACGCTCTTGTATCCGTGTTATATATATAAACGTGAGTATACACACATACAATATATTCTGGAAGGGGAACAATAGAGACTACCGAAGTAAATGCATAATAATTATAATATACGCAGAGAACGAAGACATCGATTTTGACAATTTTTTTCCGCCAAGTTTTTTTTCTTACGCGCAATCTTTTCTTTTTATCCTCATTTTGCGAGAAATGCGTTCCCACACGCGCCATTTCTCTGCGCATTCGCAACTTCACCGACATTCTTTCTCAATAAATATAGCGATAAATATCACGAATTTTTTTATTTCGACAAATACTACGCACCTACGTCGATTTCTTTTTTTTTTTTTTATTTATTTTTCTTTTGTTTATCCTTCTCTAACAACGTTGTATACAATTCGCGGTTATTCGCGCGACCGTTTAGACAAATACGGTCTCGCGCGAAATTCTTAGAAGAAGATCAAAAAATGACAACACTCTATGTTCTCGCTAATTATTATTTACGAGAATATAGTGAGAGACAGAGAGAGATAGAGTAAAAGAAAGAAAGAGAGAAAAAGAAATGGATCGAGAGAGCGAGAGCGAGAGAGAGAGAGAGAGAGAGAGAGAGAGAGAGAGAGAGAGAGANAGAGAGAGAGAGAGAGAGAGAGAGAGAGAGAGAAAGAGAGAGAGAGAGAGAGAGAGAGGAAGATAAGAGAACCCTGAGTGATAAAGAGATGAACAACGAGGAATGAAGTGAAGGATGGATGCGAATCTGAGAAAAAGTATTCGCTTTAGACGTGTTGCACAAATTCCGGATTTAGATACGAGAAACCCATAAATTCCGTCTGGTCCAAGTTCATCATGAACAGCTTATCCGTGGGAGTCAAGTCTGTCTTTTCCGACGTAAACTGCTTGTCGAAGTTACTCACGTCCTTACGATGTTGCTGAAACACACGAAAAAACCAAACAATCATTATATGTACACACACGCTTTCCTCCGGAATAAAAAATTGTTTACCAAGAGAAAATACTCACGATCTTTGGCTTGAAGGGTGGCTGCACCTCGCGGTTTTCTATCTTTTCCCAATCAATACGCCGGAAGAACGCGTGAATTCGCACGTCTTCCTCACCGCGCAATCCGCATCCTAATCTTTTGCTTGGGTTTTTCGTGAGGAACTGCAATAAATTTCGTGAGCTCGAGAACACGTGTATTATCACCAATATACTCAATAATAAATAAATTTAACATTAAAGATGAAATGCCACGTGGAAATTTTTCATGACATTTCTGAAATTCTAACACGAGTAGGAGTGTGAAAGAAAGCACACACTTACTGCTTTACAAACTTCTTTAGCCTCTTTCGACAAACTCTTTGGATAACTAACATTATGATCTGTAATCGCGGAGAAAAGTTCATCTTCATCCTCCCCGTCGAACGGCGGCTGACCTACTAGCATCTCGTACAACAATACACCGTAAGCCCACCAATCCACGGACTTGCCGTAAGGTTGATACAGAATAATCTGAGCAATAAAAAGATAAAGAGAAATTTTCCCACGTAACAGTAGAAGACAAGTCGTGTAAAATTCACAGATTCTCTTCTCTTTCCCAAACTTTAAATTAAACTTTATTTCACAAGATATGCCAGAGGACAAAGTGGATAAGTGGACGGGAGTTGTTGAACATAAAATTCGCATTTTTGTTAAAACCACTTGTTTGAATCAACAGCTCGATATATAGCTTTGAATAATACAACACTTGCGTATTTCTTACCTCGGGCGCTATGTAATCGGGTGTGCCGCAAAAGGTTTTGGTTGTCTTGTCGCCGGTGATGCCCTCCTTACACATTCCGAAATCTGCGATTTTTATGTGACCGTCCTGATCCAACAGGACGTTGTCGAGTTTGAGATCGCGATAAACTATGCCGCGCAAGTGCAAGAAAAACAAGCCGATTGCTATCTCGGCCGCGTAGAAACTGCAAGCGTTTGAGAAAAAACACACTTGTCTTTGAGATCAATCAATCGGGATTTTCGCGAAACGGAAATTTACATGTGTGTATTAAGAAATGTGTTCGCGGGATAAATGCCGTGAACGTGTGGATTTAAAACAATCGAGAGATTCGGATGTGACGGCGACGATGAGGTCGACGCGAGACATATCATCCAGGTACAATCGGTTTTCATTTTACATTCGCGCAAAATAGTATTGAGAAAGTTCGACAACATGAATTGCTTAAGAGAGAGAGAGAGAGAGAGAGAGGAGTTCCCATCCTCCGCGAGTTCCCACGTCATCGCCGTCGTCTCTCGCGGCGCTTTAATAGGAATATCGATCCGCAAGTTAAAGCGGAGCACGTTCACGGACGCTAAAATACTCACACTGCCACCGGCTCTTTAAATTTACCACACTGCTGTATTTGGTACATCAGATCGCCGCCGTTCACATATTCCATCACGAAGTACAAACGATCCTGAGAAGCGGAAAACAGAAAGGGGATCTTTATAAGCGACAAGCAAAGTGTGTGTTCCAACTAATCTTTCACTGTGGCTCACACAACGTTCGCGTGCTAAAGAGCTCTTATATTCTTCGCCCGACATTTGTATATTCTCGAGAAAGATTTAATATTAAAATTACACTACTTTCGATGAGCTAATAAAGTTGAAAACTGCAAATGTAAATAAACCAAGTTGTATTTTCACACTAATTCGAGATGGTCTTCGCTAGAAAGTTTTAATTAACTCTGTTTCAATCTAACTTTTACAGATAGACGTAAATTACTGATCGAAATACGTACATACATAATTCGAGTGTGAGGAAGAGAAAAAAAAAATTAAGTACTACTCGTACCATTGTCTGAAAGCAAGAATGCAGTTGCACCAAGAAGGGCGGCTTACTGGAAAGCGCGAGCACACGCTTCTCGACCATCGTGCATTCCACGTCATCATCCTGAATAATAATATCCTTCTTCAAAATTTTGATGGCGTACAACTCGTCGGTTCCCTTTCTCTCCGCCAGCAAGACCTTGAATTACCAAATTGAATTCTGTCGAGAAATGCGGCAAATTTTTGGAACTTAGCTGAATCTCAAAATCAGCAAAAGCTTCACCTTGCCAAAGCTGCCTTTGCCGAGCACCATTAAGAAATTGAAGTCGGTGATACGTATCAGATCGCTTTTACCCATGTTATGCGGTATATCCTTGTCCTGGGTCGTGTGCGTTTTCTTTGTTACCGAAGTTTTCTGCAGTTTCCCCCAGCAATACGTGTTACTTTTTTGTATGTGTGTGTGCGTGTAATCTCAGAAATAAATTATTGTCAAATACATAAATACCCGCATTTTGCTTTTAAGTTCGGCGAGATCAACGCCTTCCTCAGGAACAGGTACATTGTAGAACTCTCCCTCTTCTTGAGTGAGGAGCTTAAACCATCCGCTCGCGGGCGCTTTGATAAGTTCCGATATGCCGAAGGACAGGGACCCCATAAAATCGTTTCTAGACGTTCGATCCCAATCCCACACCTCGATCAACAGCCGCCTGTCTTTGTCCTCAGGCTTGAGGTCGCTAATAGTAAAATCCAATTTGCTCTAATCGTTGCCTTATGCAGTTTGCGAGATTATTTATACACAAAGAGTAAAGTAATTTACAAGTACAATTGCGTTAACAAACTTGGAGCAACGTTATTTTTTTAATATGACCCAGCGAGAAGCGACTCTTACAAGATGATTGTCTCGTTCCATTCTGGGTTTAAGCACGACTTGATTGTCTTTGTTTTCTTCTTTACGTTATCTGAGTCCGGGATTAGCTTCAGTTTTACGTAGGGATCCGATAGCCCGTTCGGATCCATTGGAATGAGATTTCGTCCCTCCCGCACTGCAGAACAAACAAATAAGTAATTTTATCGTAAAGTGCTTATGAAAGAAACTGCGCGCACTCTGCGATGGCTCTGGAGTACGCGCGTATATCCAGATAACGAGAATCAATTTCAGAATGTTGCGAAAAAAGATGCGTAATACGGACCCGTCCATTTATATTTTGTACAATACTGGTTTTTGCTAATCATTATTTTCAACCGAAAACCGAACGAATACGTTCGTTAAAGTATCGCAAAACGCGGCGGTAAAATGAGTCGAAAAAAAACGCTAGTAACATGAGCCGAAAAGACGAAGAAAAAAAAACAAACAAACAAACAAAAAACAAAACTTGCAAAAAGCGACGACTTATTGGATATATCTTATTTACCTTCTACGGTGAGCTTGCCACCGGAACACGTGATGTGTAGGTGTATACGACCACGTCTTTCGGTGTGATCGCATCCGCATAGATTCGGCACGCTTTCCTCGCATCTCTTGTGTACGTTCATGTCGCATGCTACATAGACGTCATCAGATCAGATTATATCATCATGTTAATACAATAATCTCTCGTCGTCTTTTCTTTCTTATTATCGCAGGAGGATCGAGATTTGTAGTGTCACTTAAACATTTTCAACCGAGGCCGCAGCTCAAGAGAGTCTCCAATCACAGATTACAATCTTTCTCTCTTTTTCGCTGTGTTTTTCTGTTTTTTTTTTTTTTTTCGACCGTTTTTCTTTTTTCAAAGAATCAATTATTTCACGATTTCGAAAACTTTCAATTGTAGCTGCGGTCGTACACGTGAGAAATTTTGGCTGCCAGTGAATACGAACGTTGTTTGTTTCGAAAGCGGTGCGTGTCTTTAAAAATGGATTTTTCAATCCAAGTTACTTCTTCGAATTTTTTTTTATATATTCACTTTCTTTTGTTTTTAATATTTTTATTTTAAAGTTTGTAGCATTAACAAGTTACTTTTTTATTACTTCTATGTAGAAGTTTTATCTTCTCGCTTACACCACTTTCAAAATAACCGTCGTACTTGTTGTTAGACACAAATCGCTAACGGGTTATACATATTTTATAATACGAGGAAAACTTATTCTTTCTCATGCTACTGAGGACAATGTTTGTAAGATCATTGATCGAGGAGGAAAACTAATGTGAAAAAACGAGCGACTGAAAAGAGAGGAAACTGTTTTCCATGATATTGTGTTCAAAGCAACTACTGATAATTTTTGATTGATTGTTGTTGAATTTCCCACGTGTACGTATGCGGATATATCTGGATGTTACGCTACGAAATGTATGTTTTGCTAATCTAGTTGATAAAAAATATCTCGTAATGAAGAAGAATTCGACATAAAATGACAGATAGCGACGTGTGTAAATGTGTCAAATATACATGTCATCAACACAAGCTAACTTTCCGAGTAATAATAAATTAACATAAAATGGTATACAATCACAGGTATACAATCAGAGGTTCACGTGTTTGCTAAATAAGATACACGACTACTTGATATTCACGCGCTGATATATATATAAATGGAATCTATGGACGTGATAGATGCATATATAACGTATATATACGTGCATGCACAGCAAACAATGTCTGTGTACATATACATATGTATGTAAATTTGTATATATATATATCGTTTGCGTATGTATTAATCGTAATATCAGTGTACAAATTTAAATATACGTGTGTACAGTAAACCTACATTTAGACGAGTCTTCATTCGTATATATTTTTACCCGCATTTTATCAATCTATTAGAATTTTACAGAAAACAAATTGAAGAAGCTACGAAACAGTAGCAATGAAAATCAGAAAAGAGAATTTATAAAAACAATACTAAATTAATATATGAATCTTCTAATAATAAACAAGACGCTACAGTGTAATATTGTTAAGAATAAAATTTGATTTTGTTCTCCCAAGTAAATTTTAGTTTACTTTCTCAAAATTTTCGTTCTAAATTACAAAGATTTAATTATAAAGCACCTTAGCACGTACGCGAAAAGATAAATTTAAGATAAACTTTTTTCTCTATATGCAGAGAGAAAAAGCTTCGGTAATAAATTCAATTAATAACCAAATCCAATTACGCGTTACCGCAACGTGAATCTCACCGTATGCGACGTGTGAATGTATTTCATATTGTATAATAGCTACAAGTTGCGGATTTTTTTTTTGTAGCATCATACACAGCTGCGCGATATACCTCAGAATATAAAAAAAATTATATGTAAATTTATATACACACGCGTGTATGTAACATATACATATATATATGTATATTTTACAAAATATTCTATTTTAATAAGTATAACACACATATATATGGAACAAAAGAGAAAACGATATATGAAAAATGGTAATATATACAATATTATACATATGTACAATGCACACTGATGGAGATGCGCATAATATATAATGGCGCATCGGTGGATGTTTAACAGCCGGCGAGATACACACAAGGTTAGAATGCGCCGCGCCGTGTAAATAAGCAACGGGTGAATATAGGCGAAGAATGGCGAGTGGGTATATTAAAATACATTTCTGCTCTCGCGCTTTTGTCGTCGAGCATAGACACAGGATGGTCGTCCGTACTGAGAGAACGAAGAGGAGAGCGAGGTGTGGTATACAATACAGTACAGTTGTGATAACACAATTAAAAATATACCAAGGCTGAAAGTATATACCTACGTAAGACCGCAATAACGATCACATTAATATTCTACATTACCGTAGAGAGCGCACGGGGATGCGTTACTGTTTTTTTTTTGTTTTTTATTCTATTTGTTTTCTAAGTGAACGCGTGACATGTTCAAATTACGGAGCAAGGTGTTTTTTTGAGTGTGACATTGGGAAGATGTTTCGTGAGAAGAGAACGTTTTTTTTCAGAATTCAGAAAGAGAGAAAAATCCAGCGTTTTTCTTTTTCTTATCTTTCCGAAAGAAAGCGCAGAGCGAACGTCATCGAGACGCTCGGTTATGTATTTCTATGTTACTTTGCGTCACGTGCAAAATTCACGTAGAAAAATACATAGGCCGCTCTCCAACACTCGGTGTACACGTTTTCTGTGTCAGTCGGCATGTAATCGTGCGTCTCGTCGTTCAGAAGCTTTTCCACGAGTTTATACGAGAGAGAGAGAAAGTGAGAAAGAAAGAGAGAAAGAGAAAGATGCGGCAGAGTAAGATAGTGAGAAGATATAGAGCGCGCCTTGTGAATGTGAGATGGCAAATCGTCTTGTCAGAGAAAGATGCTTTTAGGTGCAGCAAGAGGATGATTACGCGGTCTAAAGCCCGTGTAGAAAAAAAAAAAAAAAAAAAAAAACCCGCAGCGAGAATGACAGAGCGAAAAAGTGAACCACGCTCTTACAAATGAAAGGCTCTCACATTTTAAGTAAGATCTCTTTTGCGGACGTCAACGATACAACGATGACCATCCGCAGCTTTTGACTTCGAAGTGGTTAAGTCTCGAATATTAAACTTACCGAGGAAAATTTGTATTCAGATGTTTCCGGTTAAAAAAACGCATGAATAAATGTTCGTGTTTGCACAAAACGATGTGTATATACAATACGCGATTTTTAACGCGATTTTTAACGCGATTTTTAACGCGATTTCGCGCATAGACAACACAATATTTTATTTATTTCTATTGGAGAAATAAAAATACTAATGGAAAAATGATTTTTTTTTTAGAATCCAGAACTTGGGTGGATTAAACTCTATATCTATAATTATTTAGGCTTTTATTTACTAGCGTTTCTCTACATATGGAAGCACAAATACATAAACAGATTATCAAAATAAACTATTATGATACATTACTTTGGAAAAAAGTTCTAATTTTTTTCTGAATGTGTTTTCTATTTTGTTTCTTTAAAAAAAACTACATATACAGACATATACATAATCTATTATATTTGACATGAGATTATAATCTTTTGCGCGTTTTTTTTTTTGTACTTCTACTTTCCGTTGAATGGCTTCTTTCGCGTTAATGAAATTAACTACAGAAACAAAATTGATTGGTTTCCACCTTCGTATTCCGTAAATCTGTTTAGACGCGATTATTTTGTTAAAGCGATTCAACACGCAACACTATGATGCAAAAGCAACAAAGATAACGTTAATACTTTTCATTGTTTAGAGTATTAAACCGGAACAACCTTCGTGTGCGTGAATATATACGTACGCCCCGAACTGTATACGTACACACGTACGCGCACGTGTGTATGTCGGTCATGTTCACGAGGCCTGGAAATCTGAAACGTCTGCAACCGAGTCTCCGAATAAGTGCGCAAAACGAGCGCAACGATGAAGCGCGATATCGATACGTTAGGGCTATTAATAGCAATATAACGAATTACTCATTCGCACCGTCGATAGATTTTCGATATTCTTTTTTTATCGGCATTTCTTGCTTTGTCCTCTATACCGACAATATATATAGATATCTAATCCCGTGCTTTAGCAAAATCTCGTAACACAACTGTACTCCGATTAACTGTGAAACGTTATTAGTAACACAAGACCACGTTTACGGTCTTGTGTACTCGCAGTGAAAGTATATAATCGTATTATAAACATATTATAACGCGCGCGCGTTTTCATTTCAAACGCGCGTTTGTATTATCAGCATGAAAAAAAAAATCATCGCTCCGATATATCGCAACTAAATAACCGATATTCGAAATTCTGGGTCGTACGTTAAATTGATCATTCTGTCGTGACAAATTCGCGGATGACCTAAATGAGAGGAGCGTATTTCGTAAGTATAGAAATTGGCGATGATGATGACAGTAGTTGGTGATGGCAGTGTTATAAATCAAGGATTTGATGTGCTCTCTGGCCACGTTTAACGGGTTTGGCGTGTCATCGACGAGCGCGCTTGATTTTTTTTTTTTTTTTTTTACTTAGTTTTCTAACTACCTGAACACTTGAGTCCCTGATGGGCGATACCGTGAAGCATCGAGCCGCAGTGGTCGCAGAAGGTCGGCGTCAGGTACGTGAACACGTCCCATTTGTGCTTTTGGCTCGCCTGAGAACAAGAAACAGTGGCCCGGGGAAGCCCGGTCCTTCATTTGTGGTCTGATCCTGTGTGAAGGAGAGATCGAAATGGACGGTGATGATACACCGATTGACATCCCAAAAGGAGGAATCCAGCTTTAGGAGAAAAAAACATTAAGCCCCTCGTTACTTCCCCGTCCCCCATTTTTTTTTTTTTTATCCCCGCGATCTTCTCGCGTTGTTTTTCCCAGAAGCTGAAGTGAAGCGGAAGCAACAAGGAATACAAATGTGCACGTGAGTCACGTGAATATAATGAACGTTTAAGGACAAGGCGCACGAGATTGCGATGAACGTCGTTGATGATTGAGTGTGCCGCACAAGTGCAACTCTCTTCCCGAGTTCATATTCACTGTATATCGGTGTGAGTTTGTTTACGACGCTTTGTTTGCGTGATTGTGTTCAGTTTTTTTTAACCAGAATACAGAAGCGGCAGATCCTCGTCGGGTCAAATTACTGTTTGCGATATTCAACCAAAAACAAAATCAAAATCAAAAGAATATTGTAACAAATATTAGCTCGCGTAGTGTCCTAAAGAATTAACTGAGCGAAGAATTAAGGAGTCAAACGCTGCAAAATCTAGTTTTTTTAAGCGTGTAAAGTACTACGCGCATAAATTCGAATTCTCAATATTCGAAAAATCATAAAATAATATTTTTTAACCGAATCTCTGCCGAGCGTATTAGGAATACCTTGCATAAAACTAAAATAAATCTAGCTTTCGACTACAAAGCAGAGCGAACGCAAATGCAAATTTTATTTACCTCTTATAAAAGAGAGCGGAGAAAAATACAATTTTGCGGCGAAATATGCCAGTTCTCTGACACAGCAGAAGACACACATACACATACATACATACACGCGCGCACACATACACACGCAGAGTGACATACAGAACTTCCCTAACGAGGTAACGAGACGTTAGTCGAAGAATCTTAAAAGATTGCGCGCGCTGTCGCAAGCGCACACGATGGTCGATTGGAAATTTGTCGCGTTACCTATGAATATTTTCCCTCGCATAAAAGACTATAAAAGTCCGTCCCACGAGACGTGAACGTGGGTAGACTATCATCAGTTATTATCGAGCCTTGTATGGTCAATACTGCTGTTATTCTTAGACTTGGTGCAGAGGAAAGAGGCTTTCACTCAAAGCGCTCTCGAAGGAACGTCAGCGGAAAAAACGCAGCGTTAAATACGCAAAAAATTTATCTATGACGAAATCTACAAAACTTTCCGATCACATCCTGCGCCACATAGCGATGCTGCGAAGTGGCCTCTGATCGTCAAAATTGCTTGAGAACATACAATCCTCGTAGACGATTGAAAACAAGAAGAATTTGCCCGGAATAAAGAAATGAAGAATTTCTAAGTGTCACAAATATATCGAGGTTCATTGTTTTCCTTCGTTTCTTCTGTGCGATACGGATGAGTCACCTGAACGGATGAACGACCCGAATATCGTTATGCTAATCAAATCTAATCTACCATCGCTGTTGCGAAAATGATGATGAAACGCGCCCCTTTCACAAGCGCGCGTCTTTTAACGGCCAGATTAACCGCTTTTATCGTTCGCATCGATGACGTGTAAAATTACGGCTCGCGTGCCGCTGATCCCTCTGAAAAGATTAGCGGAACGCGATGGCTTTGCCCAACGCGACACGAGGAAATGATGATAAACGTGCTCGTGGAGTATAAAAGCGAATCACGTGAGATAAAATCTATAAAGAAGAAAATTCTCTGAAAATATGTCTGTTATGTTCTCGACTCGTAACGTCGCACGCACTTCGTTTTATAAATTACACGTAATTTATCTCTTTGTGCGAAAAATATATGCAGAATGTCTCCGTTTTTAGTGGAAAAATCTTGAAAACAGAGCAAAAAATTGAAAAAAAAAAAAAAAAAGATTCGAATAAAAGTTATAGGATTTGGATGGAATCGTAAGTTGGTGATCTCAACTTTGTTGAAGAAAAAGCTGAATAATATAATATCCAAGTAGCTCTCTTCTCCGTTTTCAACTTCCTGATCGCTCTTATTCGAGACACCATCAAATTCTCACTGGTCCACATAAGTAGAAAGAATAAAACATATATGTATATTATATACAAAAAAAAAAAAGAAGAGCGCGGAATATCGAAGAGGTGACAAACACTGTGTGTACGCGTGGTTGCAAAATTACCACACACGTCGCTCAAAACATGTAAAAACAAAAAAAACAAAAACATACGGACGTACAAACAATTCTCTTTTAAACAGAATTAAACTATTTTTTTAGCAAGACAGCTGTCTGTTTTTTTAACTATATTGTACATTTTTTCACACAAACTGTGTAGAGAAAAATTTTATTTTTACAAACATCCAGGTTTTATACCGGTGGTACAAACAGAAAACTAGAACATGAATAATCGTGAGACACATAACACCAAGTTTTACACACAGTAAAAATATACACAAAAGGAAAAGAGACAGAAAGAGAGAGAGAGAGACAGAGAGAGAGAGAGTGAGAGAGAGAGAGAATATAGCCAAAGAGACGAAGAATCACGTCAACAACTCTGGAAATATATCGAATATAATTGTACAGCAAGAAAATACGTACGAAATGTAACGAGATTGAAAGACCACATCGAAAAAATATAACAAAAACGTGAAATGTTTGTGCGATTAATGTGCAACGATGGAAACTCGCAACACTAAAGAAAAAGACAAATTGACAAAGAGACCGCAGAAGTATAGTGAGGAGGTGATAAACAAATTTACACACGTTTAAGAACGGTACGAAAAGATAAATCTATTATATTATACGATTGTATAAAATTCATTAACAAAATATTTTTCAAATTTAACTATTGTTTGTTTTTACTTAATTATCGGGATAAAAATAATATGCGATTTTGAAACATTTTAAATAGAGAAAGATTTTACCAGATATATTAAAATACTTCTGTTTGAAAAACACATCTAACTTCTAGGTAACTTTTCCCCTCCAACGTATAAAACTTTTTTATTGGCTAATGCGCATACATGTACACACGTTTATGTAAAACGCGAACAATCAAATTATGTTAATAGGCCGAGACAGTCTCTAAATAATCTTTCTTTCTATGATATCCTCTTTTCTGACTGTGCAAAAGATTGTTTACAATTTTCGAGGAAAGTTTTGACAGAGTGAAAAAAATATTGGACTCAATGGCATCGTGGCTAAAATGCGCTCTTGACCGGCTCGCGCACTAATTGTCAAAGCGATCTCGCTTTTTTTTCTCGTGTTCAAAACGGCCGATGTTAGCGGCCTAAATATACAGAGCGAGTTTCGTCCAATTATCGGGGAAAGAGTATATTCTCTTTTGAAGCGCTCTAACACTTTTTTTTTCGAGGCGAGCAAATGTAAATACACGGCTCGTAAAACGTACTATTAAGTAGAAAGAGTTCTTTCATATATACGCGAACACGCGAGATTCGAGGATAAAAAGAAATAACAAAAAGAGAATGTGTGCGTGTTTTGCGGATGCATTTGGAAAGTCTTTTTTTTTCGTGTAATCTCTTTTCATATTCTCTCACACGCAAAAACAAATCACACACGCATACTGTGCATAAGTAAAGCAAGTTAATATGCACCTAACAAATGCACACACACACACACACACACACGCAAACGCGCACATATACTATACGTAGCCACGTATAGGTCGGGAGAGAGAGAGACCATAGTTAATGCGCACAAAAGCCACTTGGCAATGACACAATGCCTAATCAGTGCCTAATCCGCGCCAAGGGACACATTACGTAATTAAAAGCTCCGCTAATTGCATTAGCAAAATTACGTCTGAACGCGCGCGAATAAAGGAAGACAGTAGATCGTCGCGTTCATCTGCAATCATTGTTAAAGCGATTAATCAGATTTCTATCTTCCGCCGTGACGACGGAATGGGAATACAGCGAGAAGAATAAGAAACTTCTAGCGCTATATTACAATATTTACAGCGAGAACAATATTTACAGAAAAGTGTGTGACAGAGAGAGAGAGAGAGAGAAAGAGAGAGCAAAGAAAAGATCAAGAGAACACACGTAGGAGTTACACAATGCGAAGAAATAAAGCAACATCACGCGCTGGACTATAGCAATAAGTAAACAGAAGGAAAAAGAAAAACTTATAAATGGTGTACTGTACATCATGTGTAAATGTGTGTGTTCACATCATGTGATGTTTTGTGTGTGTGTGTGTGTATATGTATTATCCTTGTGGATGTAATATGCGAGGAATAGCGTGTGCTCGAAGTGTACGTGTCGCTGGGATCTCGTTTTCTTTTTCGTTCGTCATATGATACCTTGGCACTTCATGCCCTGGTGGATGACACCATAGAGAAGACTACCACAGTGGTCACAGAAGGTAGGGCTGTTGTAGGTGTGTTGCTTGAATTGGTGCTTCGTCCGTGTGTCCTGCGTTATTACACCATTACACCGTGCACATACATACGTACATACACGCACGCACACACACGCACCGCGCGCGCGCAGATTCCGGAGTCTGATGATAATGAAAATGACGCGGAAAGGAGGGAGGAAAATCATGATCGTGGAAATGACTCGGTAAAGACCGTACGTCCCGACTGTAGATCGCAAGATTTCCCAAAGCCGATTAAATTCTGATTAAACGTAACGCAATAACCCTCCCGAGAGAGACGCGACGCGATTTGGCCCGATAAAATCTAAAATAATTGCAAACGCACAACTTTTGAAATTAACTTACCACGTCTATCGCAACGGTCGTCTTGAGCTCGAGAGAGTAGTAATCTTTATTCCAGCTCCTTTATGTTTATTTGAAAAGGTCAGAGTATGTTTTGAGGAATTTTCAGCGAGCGACAAAATGAGATTTCTTCTGTCTTTTTCTCCAATTAGATAGTTTTTTTCTTTCAATTTCAGTTATCATCGTCCCGAACATATTTACTAACGTGATAAATAATGTAATATGTGTGACGAAACAACAAACAATGTCTTCCGCGAGCCATTGTTCCGCGCGTGCTCGAAATTAATGTAAATGTAAAACATCTGCTACGACGCTCAAATGTTCAGGGAAGCGAGTTCTTAACTTAAAAAATCACGACTCTTGCATCCAAACAGGATCAAAGGAAGTGTATTTCAACAACTTGTCGAAACCATCCTGCCGCCGGCGGCGGCAGTCGATGCTTCCTGGCTTGAGCAAAAACCGAAACAAGCTGGCAGGAAGTTTTACGAGGTTTCGCGGTTGGGGTGAAAGTTCGAGCGCGGAACGAGCGCATCAAGTCTTCCGGTGTTACCTCACAAACGGTCCAGGCGCGAGTTCGACTATCTAGTCGATAGATAATTATTTACAACTATCGTCGTACCATTGTACTGCTGAGTACGTGGTTAGAACTCGCGGCGAAGACTCTCAGAAGTAGATCGCGTAGTTCTCAATTGTAGAAAACGCGCGTAAAAGAAAAAAAAATACAGAAATACAAATTCTATTTTGACAAGCAGCAACTGCTTGTAACATTCGTTCTTCAATTTATCTTCCGTTACTTTCGCGCATCTTTCTTCCACGCGGGAAGAATAAAAATCGAAAAACTACATCGCTGGCGTTCGCGTAAGTTCCTCGCGTCGCGGATAACAATGAAAAAGCATTACACGACTTAAAGGGAAATCTACGATCCACCACGATATCCACGCAAATCAATATAGGCGCGGAAAGGATTACCTTCGAAGCGCAGAAGCACAAAAGGAAAAACAGGACGAGAGAAGTCAGCACACAAGATCAAATGGAAAGTCAGCGAGGACCTTCGATTAGTTGATGAGAAAGAGAGAGAGAGAGAGAAAGATGGAAAGTTTTAAAGATAAATAAAACCTTTTTCCCGAGGCGGAAGAGAAGGGAAAACGTTCGAAGCTCGAATACGCCGTAATCCTCCTTGACATTCTCTTTAAAGACTTCGATAACTGTTCGGCGTGAAAAACAACATTTCGATACCGTTCCAAATCGCCAGTCTCAAGTCAGGCGAGAAATGAGGTAGCTAGTAAATTCATCGATTGAGACACGAACAATTCATTCTTTTTTTCTTGGAATTGATGTTTTTATATACGTATATTTTTGTACATTAAAATAACCGAAAATGTCAAAATTGAATTATTTTTGCAACGATTAAAAACATCTCTCTCATTATTTGGATTTAATTTTCCGGTTTAGAAAAAAATGAGAATATATTGTTAAGCAGTTTTTTTTTTTGGTGTGTTTCTTTTTCAAGTCTCTTTACAGAGAGAAGCGCTTTTATACAGGAAAATTGTTTCGAGCCAAAAACGTTTTCGCCTCAAGGCATCGGAAATGACAAGTCGACTATGTTTGTCCGGCGAGTCACTCTCCGAGATAATCAAAAGCGTGTTAAACGAAGCGCAAAAGGACACGTTGGTTTAGGCAGAGTGAGCGTGGTGCAAAGAGACAATGTGGAAGAAGAACGTACAGCTCTTATAGGCCCGCGTATTTATAGTCGCGTTTCAGCTAAACGAATTTCAACATTTGACACTTGTAATCATGAAATTTCATACACTCAGTTGAGTTCATGAAGTTTGTCTGACGGTAACAACACGAGTTGTGAAAACAAAGTCTGTCTGACGAAACCAATATTTTTTGTCGCACAATTAGTCGATTTTTGTTTACTTGAATCTCGACTCTCGAGGATCTCGAAGCAAGATTTGAGTAGCGGGACTATAAATAGAGGCCTCAGTTTCTAAGGATATGGTCATTTCTCCTTCCTTTTATCCTAGCCTAGCCAAGAATCTTTTATCTCATTATCTTTTTATTTCACAGCGTTTCGGCTTGTGAGATAAAAAGGATACACCGCGGACGCGCGCGCTAAGCTATACGGTGACTTTTATCGCGATAAATTTACCACGCACTCTCGTTGAAACTTTATCTTCCGTAAGTTTAGTTGTAAAGAAATTTGAAAGTGGCAGCGTAATAATTTTCGTAATTCCCTCTTGTGAGTTTATTTTTAAACCCCGTCCGCGATCTGAAACTCTTCTATATATTCCGGAATATAAGTTGGCAAACTAATCCTTCTCTTGTGTTAGTAGCAAAGACTATTATTACGCTTGAGTTAAAGTTTCTTTATTTTGAAATGGTAAACAAAAGAAGGTAAAACGCATGATAATTAATATTTAGAAGATCTTCTTTAATTAAAACACGTAAAAGGTCTCTCTAACTTAATTACGTCTGGTATTAAATGTCCCCGTATTAATAAAAAAATACATTGCACTTTGTAACATTAAACAATATCTTAATTAATGCGTCGAACATATTTAAATTGCCGCGATTTAAGTAAATAATATTTTATCTTTAAGTATCTTTTGTTTTTAGAGGCTTGAGGACAAGGTTAACATTTAATTTCAAATATTAAAAAAAAACTAAGCGGCGGGATGTTTCGGTAATTTTGTTATATTTATTTTACATATTCTCAACTATCTTTTGTTAAAATTTCATGCAGATATCTGTATTAATATGTGAGTAATAAAGAGTTCCGTGAAGTGTGTGTCTTGTACAAGAAAAAAACACGTTTCGCAGCATGCACGATTTTTCTCGGCTCTGAAAAAGCTCAAAAAGGATATATTTTTATAGAGAAATATTTATAAATTTCTTATACACACGGTTTGAAAACATGGCATCCTAACATACGCTTCGATCTTAAATTTACGTTTACACACACACACACACACCATATACTTGGAATTATAAAAAAAATATCACATATTTGACAGATTTTTATTGTCAGTCGTCACTTTTCTATAGAGCGACACGCTTTTATCAAACGCAATTTATCGAATGATATAAGATTGGATTTTCGCGGCAAATGGACTACGCGTGATAAATTCGTCAGATTTGCGGACGTTCGGAAGATCTATTTTCAACGAAAGTTTCTGAGAGAGAGAAAATCTTTGGCTGAGAATAAAAGGGAGGAAAGGCGAGATATATATGTGGTCCGCGCGGTAAGGAGGAATGTGAAGAGAAGAAATGAATTCGGGTATATAATGTACTCACATCCGAGTCGGCTCCTTTGTCAGCTCCCGGACACGTGAAAGTCACGTATTCGTGACATCGTTTGTGAACGACGAAACTACAAACTAAAACAAAACGCCGTATTCGAGTTTTTTTCCTCAAAAAAATCACATCTGATGAATTACATCAGTCGATGTGAGTCGGTCTATCTGTCTCTCTTACCTTGGCACTGGTATCCCTGTTTGCCGAAGCCCCTGTAACAACAAACAGAATAAGCTTGTCAGTAGATACCTTATGTACACAAAAAAAAAAAAAAAACTATCAATCGCGTGTCACGGACGATGTTGTGACGCCGTTAACGACTGTACACACGAAATAAACGAGAATTTTGTCAGAAAGAAAGTAGCTCGCACACAGATAAAATTTATGTAACAAAACTATTTAACGTATAACGTGACATTAAAAAAAAATAACATTATTAAAAATTATAACGTGAGATTTTTTATCCGTCTTATTATCACAACATTTATCTGTGAAAATCTAATTACGGAAAACTCAAGATAAACGTTGAGGAAAGAAGGAAAGACTCTATCTCTCTTATGTTAATTCTACGATGTCATTTTATGCCGCTATGCTTCCTTTCTCTGTGATCTTTTGAACTAAAATATCTTTCCCATGTTATTTACTTCCTTCCCTTCGGAATGCGGAGCCAGTTGTTCTATCCACTCTGGGGTTCTAGCCCCGCTCTGAGGTAACTTTTAATGAGATTACAATTATATATTCATTTATTCTACCTTAATTATCGCGCGTCTGTCTGTACACCGCGTCTGGATGAAAATAATATTTTGCAGAATTAGATTGATGAAATTTTTATGGAAATTGTTTCGCGGAACATATAAAGATGATGATTATCTCCGTTTTAAAAACATTTGCGATTACGTAGATACATCGTTACGCGCGTTATAATCACATCGTGTGTGTCTGATTAATCTGAATCGTAAATTCCCCCCGCCACACACATCGCGACGTGATCTCGCTAGTTATTCTTATCTAATAGTATATACACGAGCAAGACATTGTTTACAACTCCCCGTCTGGTTTCCCATTCGCGTTTAATCCCGCAAGCTATAAACAATGTATGTAACAACTTTATATTGTAGCATTCGACCACGAGAAGCGTCGACATTGCAGGCGCGTAATATATCCGTGAGAGGAAAAAATTGAGAGTAAAGAAGACGGAGAGAAAACGTTCGAAGTCTAGCTGGATAAAAGTGCGCTTCAACGTCGTTCGCAATTATCCAATTTTCGAACTCTAACGGGGGAGGGGGGTTTGAGAACTGTTCCATGTCGAATCGCCGATTAGATCTCTTCTCAAAAAACAAAATGAGCAAATCGATAATTCAAGATTCTGCATCCGAGCACTTGTGCCGTTAACGATTGTTAGAAGTGCACTTTGACAACGGATTGTTATTTGTTTATCTTCTTTCTTGTTTTTTAGATATCAATTGCTGCCTCGAAAAACGCAAAAATCGTATATACCAAAACACACACGATCTAAAACAAAAATAAAAAAAAAAAAAAAAAGACACGCGCGCTTTATGTTTTATTCAAATTTTACTCGTCGCACATGATCTCCGGATCCACGCACGTGTGTTTTTCATCTCAAGGGATCAAATATTTTTCATCTGATAAGTTCAGCTCCCGCCGTTTAAAGCCATCGATCATCTTAATTGTCGCCTTATATGTTGCTGACGATAATTATGCCGCAGAGTTACGGTGTGACGACGATGGTGTATGTACCAAAAATAAACAGGACTTTACAGAGGACGACATCGATGACGCACGTCAATCTCGCGCGACGCAAGAACGCAAGAACGAAAAGACGGTCGCGACGTTGTCGAGGGTTAAGAGCGGAACTCGTACAAAGGGTGGAAAGAAGCCGTGCAAGATAGAGAAGTCGAGAATCACAGAGCTCTTTTGCCGAGGGGTTGTTTTGTGGTCGAAAGAAGTGCCGGTAATAGCGAAACCGGAGGGGAACGCGGAAGAGAGAATGGCAAATCTGCGATTAGCCTATATTGCTGTAAACGCAGACGCAATTTTAAAATACGTTTCACAGATGTCACATGCACGTATGCACAAAAAGTCAATTTCAATTTCTAATGCGACACACAAAAAAAAAAACGAAACTAACTACACGTTACATTTCCGCAAATGTCAATTTGTTTTTTTTTTTTTTTGTATTCACAACATTCAATTATAAACTCAATGAAATTTTTATGTCAGTTTATTGCTAATTCAGAGCTGGTAGCGTTTTCCCGTTCAGGAAAAAAGCTATAACTCGCAGGAAATGAGCGAAGAGCAGTCGAATCGTCAGGAGGAAATCAATTGAAGAGTCACGGGAAATGGGGAAGGCGAATCGGTCGTCAAATCGTCCGGAAAAAAATTCACTTGAACACAATAATATTTGAGTACACGGAACATCTTCGACCAGCCATTATTTTATTTTCTGTTTTTTAACTTTTAAAAGCTCGTGTAAATACAACGAAGTTCAGTATTAAAACAAAACGCACGGAAATTCTTTTTTTTTATTTTTTTATTTTTTTATTTTTATTAAACTGCTGCTAAGAGCTCTGATAGCAGACAAGTGAAGCAAGAAATAAAAATCGTTGAACTTCGTATGGCGTGATATAAATATCGCAATTTAGCCGACTCGCGTATTCGAAGTCACGAAAATAATGAACGGTCGAATGCAATTTCTAGCACAGAAAGACTCAACAGGCAGTTCACTGGCCTTCTGCCAACGCGCGCGAATATTTATGCGACCAATATATTTCGTCGCTAATTAAGGAATTATTTTTCACAAAACGACACACGTGTTGCAACAGCACATTGACGACGATTACATTGTAATGACGCTTGATTCCAACAGAGTTCATGATGTAAAAATTTATCACAAAATAAAACGCGAGATGATCATATTTAAAATGATCAAACAGCAATTTTGCTGTAATAAACTGTTATTACAACAAAAAATAAACGTATATAAAACTTAAAAAATGTATAAAACTCTTAATACAAAAAAATATACACGCGCGTATAAGTGACGCACGATTTTTTTTTGTTAAGAAAAACTTATTAATTTTCACCTACAACACGTGTGTAATAACGTGATTTTACATAATTAATTTTATCAGCAGAACGGATCTTGGACTTGAAATCTCGATTATTCAACGCCAGCAATTGCGAAAGTCGTAAATCACGTTATGCTGAATATTTTCCTTCTTATTAATCAAACGTTAATGAGACAATATCCGGTTGGTTTGTTCCGAGTATAACGACGTCGCGGTCGTTAGCGATTTTCTGCGATCGAAGTGAGTTGTGACGTGACTCTGCTCTGGGGTGTCGTGTGTGTGTTTTTGGTGACGAAACTACGATCTCAAACCAAGATAATTCACTCCAATTTCAATTATCTCAATCGTACACATCATTAACAATCTAGTTAACGATCGAGCATCTCTATCTCGCGGCCTTGTTTCTCTTCGTCTCTCTGTTTCTCCTGAAATTTGTTTAATTTAATTTGAAACGATTTAATGCTCGATAAATCTGTAGGAAAACTACGTTCGCTTCGACGCGAGAGAAAGAGAGGTCGATTTTTTCACATTTCATTTTGTGTCCGATATGTCAAAGGAAAAATGTGCCGATAAATCCACAGTAAGGAATCCCCCCCTTCCAAGCCGAAATGGTCTCTCATTCTTTATTTCTCTTAAGTCAAAAACACGCACGAAAAAAACTTAAGCAACGAGACGTGAGCGGCGAGCAAACCAACCAATCGCGGCGTTAGCTTTTACGTTGAGAGAATGAGAATGCTCGAAAAGAAATACCAACCGTTTTCTTCGTCGTATCTGTGACATTAAACGTTTTACTACTATGAATAACCCCCCGCGAAATCGTTCTCTCTTTCTCTCTCTCTCTCTCTCTCTTTCGATTGTTCCACTTTTAATGAAGATACGTACTATACGAAGTGATCTAACCAACTGGGCACGGTCACAGGTTGTCAACGGAAATGACTTTTGTAAGTTACGACATCGCGCGCGATAGAAATAATAATAATAGTATCCTCTCGTCTCTCTCAAGGGGAGCGAGAATCTCGCGAGAAAACTTATTACCGAAGTACAAGTTGGCGTTTGTAATATATATTCCAATCACGTATTGTGGACTTTGAACCAGAAAGAAAACACGCTCGGAAAAAACATTGCGTTACTTATAAATTTTCAATTTAACAAACTTAATCTAAATGCAAATTTTCGCAACAAACAATTATCTCTACCTTTACTCTCCTAAGCTCGACATAGTCGTTGACGCTTTGAATCTTGTTTGAAAAAAAGCGTATCAGTTGAGATTCTCGGGAATCGTGATTCAATTTTATCGATCGGTTTTAATTTTTCTGCGCGTCAATTTACTTCGCTTATGTCACAAGACGGCCGCGAGTGAATGCGGTTTACGCACACTACGCGCAAGACACAAACAAGTTACGCGTTTACTTCATCGATAAAGTTGATAAGATGACTAAAAAAAAAAACCGCGATAATTTATTAGCTGAAAAAGCAATCGTCGTCGCGACGCGTTGACACGCGACGTGAAACCACACGGTAAAGGCATGGAAACATATGAAATAAATCTCACACAATGTCTCTCCGTGCGATTAGATGTGATTCAAGTGAAAACAAGTCGTTCCACATCTTGGAAACAAAAAAAAAAAAAAAAATAGAGAAAGTCACACTTCTTGCGTGTATAAACACATTGTTTATTGACTAACAAAGCGGAACAGATTTAACGACATTGGGTTTTCTCTAACAATTCGGAAGATCTGCGATATTTCTTGAAAAACTTGCCAAAAAGAAATACCAGGTTGATACGAAAGATCACTCCGACTGTAATAAATTTGTTGACCGGTTATGTTAATTCCGCTTCATCTTCTGTTTTTTACATAACGTTTCATCTTGCACACACCTGCGAGAATCGCGTTGCCCCTCAAACAGTTCGTTTTTTCTTGCCAATATTCGTAGCTTCGTTAGCGGGAAAAAACGTTGCGCAACGCCGACAAAGAATTAATTCTTGCCACGTAATTGCGCTCCCGTGCGCGCGAAACCGCAAGCTTCATTACAATAGGCCTAATTAAAATTATTCATGAAGCATCTGTAAAAGCTGCGCGAAGCAATATCAATTACAATTAAGTAGAAAAACTACAAAGATAAACGAGCGAGGGGGAGAAAGAGAAGAAGATTTATGTTCTTTTGTTGTTATAGGATGTTTATTAAATAATAACATCTCAAAACAAATACACATAAATATTCGTTCTTTTGTCCTCTCGCGAAAAAGTGTTTGAACGGGAAAATTCTCTGACGCGTTTTGAAAATTTTCAAAACGCGAACCTAATATCTCACACGAAACTTTTATTTAAAAGATTGATAAAATATTCTGCTTTCTTCTATGCTTTCTCTGAATAAAATATATAAATCTCTCTAGGAACGTTTATAAATTTATCGTCAGCCGGCGCGTCCGAAGACCTACTTATACATATGTAAGAACCCCGTGCAATACGGTCTGCCGTTGTAATTCTAAAACCTAATTACATCAATACTCGAAGAATTGACGATTGTTACTTGCGCAAAACGCGTTCTATTTCCACACACACACACACACACACACACACACACACAGAGAGAGCCAGAGAAACTCACTCTGTGTAAAAGATATACTAAATTTACAACGCGCGTCTGTGTGCTCGCGCGCGCGCCGAATGACCCAATTTTGCTTTGTCATCTCAGAAAAGTTCCGAGGAGTTTTTCTCATCGATATTGAAAGAGCGATCGAAGGTAAGAAATAAGAAATGTAGCCAAAACGTTCTCTTTCTCCGCGAAAGGTCGACAGATTGCACGCACGTGGCAGCACATTTGGAAAAGAAAAAAAAAGATAGATTCGGGCGCATGTGTAGCGGCGCACGTTTTCCGCACCACAGCGAAGAGGTTTCTAATTCGGATAGATAGAGGAAGAATCCAAGAGCGCGCGAGAGTACGTCAAGGCCGGATCGTTTAACTGTGTGCTTGGCCTCTCCGCCTCGAGATCGACCGGCTCGAGAGCAATATTGACTAGATTTACGTACAACCTCGTCAATCCGAACCTTCGCTAACTCTCTCTATGTATTTCGAATTTTTATTCGCTCTCTCGTAGAAGATGTTTGTATGAGTCGGCAAAACACACAGAAACGTCGGAAGATTTACGAGCGTCCCGGTTACCCAATATCATTTCCACAATTCGGATTGATTTAAAATTGACCTCTGCTCGAGAGAAACCCTTCGGAAACTCGAATCTCGACGGATCGAACATCTCTAACTCAAAATATTATCTGTTTCTTCGAGATGGAGATTTTCGACTTTATTTGTTTATCGTCTTACACACTGTATTGTGACACGAGAAGAAACTACGTATTAAAGCACAGACTGCAAGTCCGTGGTCGACATATTTCCAGAAGCTCAACTGAGTTACGGACGAAATCAAGTACACCTCAACGGATCACGAGTCAGATATTAAATCCTTCACTCGAAGGCCAAGGTAATATCCGCAAAAGAGAACGGAAACTTTTAATTGATCCGTGAAATTCATTTTCTTGTGCTTTTTTTATCACGACAATACGTAATTTTACGACAGAGTCTAAGTGAAGTTAATTAGTTTTTTTTTTTTTTTTTTCATAAATATTAATTTTCTTGGATCGAACAAGCGAGTTGAGAAAAGTCGCACTACCCTGAGTGAAAGCTGAGAGTGCACAGTTTTATTTTTATCAATCAATCTCTCTAGCTCTGTATATCTCAATATTCCATCCGAAGATCCGAAGATCCTGTGACTGAAAGCAAATGGCACGCACAAAAGCGGATTAACAGTCCGGAGCACTTTTACGTTTTTTCTTTGTCGCAAATAATCACGCCGATTTTTTACGCCGTTGAAAATTTTCATACGCGAAATGAAATATCGAATACGTAACGCAGAGGTGTGAAAGTATCAAAAAGCAATGGGTATTTATGAAGCATTGACCGGTTTTATCACTGTTAATTGGACAATCAGAAGTGGCATATTGTTGCCGCCGTAGAGAGAGAGAGAGAGAGAGAGAGATCATTAATTGGTCATTACAAATAAACCACTCTGTGTTCATATATATATATATATGTGTGTGTGTGTGTGTGTGTAAACACAAGACTCGGAAGAAGAAGGAAAAAGACCGAGCGCATAATTAAGACAAGATTAGCACCGTTAATTTGTAACCGATTATATTATTTTTGAACGTGAATTGTAATCAGTGTCAAAAGTCAAAATATAAAGTAATATATAACGTCATTTGTCATTCTTTTGCACGTAACAAGAGTAAACTACTTCACGTGATGATATACTCACGTTAGCTAATAAAAAAAAAGTCGATTCATTTCATTCTGCGTATTTATTTTAACACTCGCGCGCGCGCGTATGTTGTCACATGATACAAAAAAGAGAAGTGAGAATTAAAAGAGAAGAAAGAAAATAAGTCGATTAATTTCTTCTGCCCAAAAAAAAAAAAAAAAAACTGTTCAAATTAACACGTTGAAATTGTATCAAAATACATTACACGCGTCAGTCAATTATGTTTTTTTCGTCAAAATCGACGTAAGATTTTGTAAACACATTTTTGCTACTGGAGCAAACGCGGGGTTGTCGTGTGTGTGAGCCACCCCCGTGATGAGCTTATCCCCGAGGCGTTCACCTGCTCTTCTCCCGGGCCGGGAATGCAAACTCGATCGTTACCCGGAACGCATATTCAACGCACAGATGCGATTTACGTTGCGGAGCCAGCGAACGCGTGTCAGCGCACACAGTTCGCCTTCGTGTTTTCAGAAACACGTTCAAACAATAAGAGGCTAATGATAGGTAAAACGATTGGTGCCAGGCTGAAAATATGCAATACGCGAATACCACTACAAACGTTTTCCAAGATCAAAGTGCCGCAAATGAGAATATCATCTTACAGTTCTATTTTCTGGGGCAAAGTATTTTTGTGAGACAAAAGTATTATTTTTGTCTCAAATGATTGCTTTCGTACATCTGATGAATGAACTTTGTACATTTATTCCCGAACGATTTCGGTAATTTTTGTTTTTTAAAACTAATAAATGAACGGTCGTAAAGAGCCGGTCGCAGGATGTTGTGCGGGTAAATGTGCGTATATAAATTTATATACGTGAAAGCATATATAAAAATGTATTCTTACATTTATATACGCACATTTATACTCGCACAACATCCTGCGACCGGCTCTTTACGACCATTCATTTATTAGTTAAAAAAAAAAAATCAGAGCCCGAGATGAATCTCAGTTCATTATTCTTTGTTTTTTAATTGTAAAAACAAAAAAAAAAACAACAAATTATACGGAGACAAGACGCACTAGTTTATCTCGTCGTCGTTATTTCGTTACAATCATTATATTGAACACAACAAGGAGAGACAAATTCGATAAACGAATGAAACGCAGTTCTCAATGTAACCAGAGAGTAAGCAACAGGGGGGCACGCGAGTTGGCGCGTCGATATGCAACGAGGACAATTTACAAAGAGTCCATTAACGCGATCGTGCTACTTACCATATGAAGTCCTTACAATGGCTGCAGAAAGTTGGCTGTTTAAAGAATCTGGGCATAAAGCTGTGATTCTTGACCATGTAGACATTCTTCTTCTTGAGAGCACCTTTCCGGCCGCGGATCTTCTTAGCGAAAAGAGTGTCGGTGTCGCCGGTCCCGAGGGAGTCCTCGCACGTGTTGTTCTCCTGCTTGTCCGCCATGGTATTTGCTCGGCTTGAACGATCGATCGACAATAAATCGACTGACCAACGTCGTCGTCGTCGTCGTCTAAATCGACGGACGAGCCGATCGTTGAGCCGTTTGTCTGCCCGAGGATGCCGGCTATCCCGGGAATCTCCGCGATCAGGCCCGCGATGGCCGCGCGCGTTTTTACTCTCGCGGTTCCACCTTCTACGATGGTTGACGACGAAACTAAATCGAAGTCGCGAAGAGAAAGACCGCGCGCGCGGGAGCTGTCACACGACGCACAGACCGACGACGGTGTGTCTCGCGATGTTTGACGGACGACGGCGCGGTGGAAGCGAGAGGAAGGAGGTATGGGAGTAAAAGGAGAGAGAGAGAGAGAGAGAGAGAGAAATAGAGAGGGACAAATGGCGGCCCGACGTCGGCGCGCGCGGTTTGTTCGAGCCGTCTAACGTGCTCCGCGACGTCTAACGCGAGCCTAGGTGCTAGCTAAACGTATACTCATCTGCTGCTGCAACGCGGTGTAACTTGCACCTCTTCTCCTGACTATCTCTCTTGTTTTCCACCACCTTTCTCTTTTACTCCTTCTTAGCGCGCGCACAATGCCCACCTCGATCGACTGTATTCGATTCTGTCTCGCGCGCGCGTTTTCCTCTTTTTCTCTCCTGGGAAATGTGCACCTTTTTGTTGTCTCTCTTTTTGACGATTCCGTCTCACCTTTTCTACTTGTTTGCTCCAATTTTTTGTCTCACTCTCTCACTGTCTTCACCACCTCACGCTCTTTGCTCTGGATTAGATGTTACACACGTAGTATATTGTCTGTCTCGCTTTACCTTGCAATCTGCTCTCTCGCTCGATTGTGCGCAAGCTGTCCTTGTTTCGCAAAGGGACGCTCCTCCGCACCTCTATTCTTTCTCTCCCCTCTCCTCGTTAGTAAATCGCGCGCGCGGGCTACCCGATAATTTTAGACTCTCGACGCAGTGGCTCGGCATTGCCACTGCTCAGCCTGCGCTGCGCACTCGAATATCGACATCCGACCGACGGCCAGGGAAGACCCCGGCAACGAGATCGGAGAAAAGGCCGGCGAAAAAGGAAAAAACGCGCGTTTTCCTTCTTTATTATCCTTTTGTTTTTTTTTTCTTTCTTCCTTCCTTTCTTCTTTTCGGTGACCTGTGAGTATCGTCTTCTCTCGTTAGTCTATTTTCCGCACGAAATATGTCTCTCGCAGACTCGCTAAAAACAGAGAAAAGGAATGGGACAGTCCATCCTCTCCTGGATTTTTTTCGTCCACTTTGCACTCGACGTCCGAGCTCTGTATCTCTGTCTTTCTCCTCCAACCTTATATCCTTTTGCTTTCCTTCCGATTCTTTCATTGCTCCTGCATGTTCAGCACAGATCATCCATGTGGATATATGACGATCTACATGGATTATACTTTATCAGATATGGCAACTTATATGTGCGATAATAATATAATAAAGCCAGACGAAGCAAAACGTTTAGAAACTGTATTATTTATTCCCAAGTATTATTTTTAATTTTACACAAATTTCTAATATTTTTTTGGTTACCGGATTTTTCTTATTTTCACCTGATACATATATTTTGTTTTACATTTTTTATTATAAGGTAAATACATTAAAAGGTTTCGGGAGATTTATATCATCAAATAGATAAAACTTCGCAAATTTATTTCAGGAACAAATGTAAATAAAATTCTCTAGTTATTTCTATATTTGAAATGTAAAACCGTTTATATTATAAAACTCATTAATAAAGACTTTTCTGTTAGGGAAAAACTGTTCAAAACTTGCGAGTTGTGCTACAATTTCACGACTTATAAGACAAGCAATTTTTTATTAATTAATTAATTTAAATACTATTTTATAGTTTTCTTTAAAACAGTTTGCTTTACACATTGAATCTAAAGTAAACTATTCTTAGAATAATTTTTTTGTATCATAAAATGGCAGCAAGAATTTCTGCTTAATCTGTTTTCATGATGTTAACAAATTTGCTTACTAGATATATTATATCTCTAAGTTCTGTCCGTGTGTGTATGTATAAATCAGTTTATATATCAAATCTATTTATAAAACAAAATCAACTTTATAATAAACAATATGAAAACTTTAAAGAAGTGTTTAAGGAAAGTTGAGTTTTTTGTCACAAAATCACACTTCTTCCATAACTAAGGCATTTAATTCTTCCTCCCCTGGACACAATACTGCATCAATGTTATAAAAAGCAGCATGAAGTGTTATCAAAAACCAAGAAACTCCTAAAAAACAATTTGCATTTATAATATTTTACATATATATATATATATGTTTTTATATGTAAAAAACTTACTTTTTCATGTAATTTACCTACCAAGAACCCAAAACAAAGCAGCATGTGCACCAACTAGGTAATACACAGGCAAGGAACAAATTCCAACTAAAGAATATACTTGTGCTAGAGTCAATTTGTGATTGAATATCATTAATTCTTGCTTAGAATGTCGCTGAGAAAGCTTATAACAAATTCCAAGAGATGCAACAACTGCTAGCAGTAATAAAGGTGAAGTAATTCTAAAAATATTTAATGAGATGCATTGAATCACAACAGTCTAAATGTAATTACCTATTTTGCTTATGCAAATTTTTTATATATTACAATATTTAAACAGTACTAAAAGATGTCTTACAAACAATATATAACCAGTCCAATAAATACAAACAGATAATTGCTCTGAAAATATTCTATATTCTTTACAATCCGCTTGGTCAATCTTGTCACATTGGGTGGTGGTCTGAAGTTGTTTGTATTAAGAAACAGAGACCATGGTCGAATATTGGCTTTTCTGTGTTCAATCCAGTTATGAGCTTGTGGATAAAGACCTATTTGACTAAGTGGTAGTTGAGAAAGTTGAAGAAATTCCAATCTATAAAACAAAATACGAATAAAACTAGATTTGCAGTAATACTAATACCGGACCACTGCTGTATCCAAATACAAACAGATCAGCAAGGTTAGAAAACACTTCAGTACACTGTCACTTTGTAAACATTACCCATTTGTAATCTTAGGTTTTTCAACTGGGATCTGCATGTCACCCATTGGAATCTCTACGCTAGCCATGATTTCTTATACAAAACACATACAACCAATTGTTTTGCTTTAAACACTATAACTGTTTTGATACTTGATATAGTTGGTTTGGTTTGGTGCATATATGGCTCAAAGGACCGATTTAAGTTAGTCCATACGCCATTCTAAGACTTTTAATCGTGTTTATCTTGGTCATATATATAATACTCCTATATTGCTAGTCGCGTATCTTCGCAATGAGAGGCACGAGGCCCGAGAAAGAGAGACGCACGAAGTCCAAATATGGGCATAGATAGTCGAGCGTCATTATGCGCAGGCGCGTCTACTAAG